CGTTATGTGGCCGTAGCGTAATTTCGATAGAAATGGTTTTATGACCCATTGAAATTAATAGAAAGGACCTTGATAATTTGGAACAAATAACATTGCTTTCTTTATGCGACTAAAAATATTTGCCCTGATTCATTTCATGTGGTCTTTGTAAGATTACCTGAATCACAGATAATATAATACCTCAAAGATTTCCTCTGCGTACATGAATCCTCTGTGAAAAGATTATAGATTTTATCAAGAAAACTGTCCTTTTTTCTCTTTATTTATTTATTCTTTATTGACCACATGACATAAAAAATGTTTGCTACAAATTGTTTGTTGGCGGTGTCCTTCTTGTTTTTAAATAATTACTTTCATCTCAAAATTCATGCTAATATTTCAGTTCTAAAAAATAGAGGGAACAAGATTATTTTTATTTTATTTTTTATAGACTTAATTTTTAATTGATGTACAGAAATCGTCCAATGAGGATTCAAAGCTTATGATCCGCATTAAAAGGATTTCAAGGTGGAGAAGTGAATGCAAGTTGACCTGTCTTATTTACCTTTATATAATAAAGTAATATTTAAAAACGTTTCTGCATCTTACAAACAAACGTCTGTTTACAAATATTAGTGTTTAGTATTAAGTGGAATTGAATATTATTCTCAAAGTAACAAAGGACGAAAAGAGATAAACAATTTTAATCTCTAATGCTACGCTTCCAGCTATTAATATAGTGGTGAAGGCTTGAGCCTTTTTTGTATATTTTTTGTAGTTCTCCCTCTAATATATCATTAGAATAAAATATTAAATTTTTCTAACAGGTATCTCCTTTAAAAGAGTATTAATGATTTTTATTTCACCTTGTATCATTATTTAGCAAAGAGAAAACAAAAACAATATTTTTGACCCCAACAAATTGTCAACCGTACAAATTAGGTGCTAACTTAGCCAGTGAACAATCACTACTTACATATAAACTTAATAACTTTGTCCTTAGCAACTCTTTGGAAGTATATTCACTCAAAATCATGCCCACAACAATGACAACTCATCTGTTGGTCATTGCCAAAGTGATGCGTCAACAATCATTTCGCTTGCTATACCTACTAATTCAAGCACACCCCTACGTATCAGCATATATTTTTAGAGCGACCTATTCTTAGTCTGTTGTTCATAAAAACAGTCGCTATGTGGCTGCACTTATATGTAATTACGTCGTAAAAATATGACTAAGTGTATTTGGATTTAAAAAAAAAACATCCGTCGACTATATTGGTAGCACTTGAGAATTAAATTATTTTAAACCGTTGTACGTTTTAATTTTTTTATGCAACTCATTGGAATGTTAAACATACTGACTTTATTGAATGATAATTGTTACCTATAAAAAAATACACTGATACCAAATATTTATGACTCTGAGAATGTATATAATAAAGAAATTAATAAAACCGTAACTGATGTTATTAATTGGCTAGAAGAAATAATCTAAAAGTTAATATGACAAAACTAAATATATTCAATTTCATAATCAACGAACTAACAAAACATTTGACTTAATGATTAAACACAAAGATCAATTAATTAATGAATGTGACATGTTGGATAATCTTGTAAATATACTGCCCCTCAAATGAGTATCCATTCCTTGTAGTACTAAAATACATTTTAGCCATGAGGAATAGTAAATGCATATTGCATGAAACCATAACAATGCATCTGTAGCTTGTTATTTCACTGCCATATTGCACTATCAAGTTGAAACCGTACATGTAATTAGATCATAACAAAATACTATAATTTAATATAATTAGCACTCAGTTTATTTTTTTTTTTAATATTTAAAAGTAATCTCTATCTAGTCACGTAGAAACGTAGCTTGTTTTAATTTCGTAAAGGTGCATTCACATCTAAAGAAACTAATATTTATTTATTTATAATCATAGCTTCAATATCTTATAATAGATATTAACGTTAAGTAATAGTTTGGCAATAATACTTTTATATATTTAGATATAGCACCACAATTTTTTTTTAAAAACATCAATAAATGCATCGCTTCGACAATAATGAGATATTGATTGCTCCAATTTTTACAATTCAAATCAAAGTAGTAATTTATCGAAGGAAGTCGGGTGTCAAAGGCCAATTCTTTCATCAGTCGGTAGTTCAGAAGTCAGGTGATACGGAGTCAATTAATGCGCCCACGCATGTGACATCACCGAGTGTAATCATTGGGTATTGTAAATTACTGAATGGGAGTAGGGGCGCTGGAATGTGCAGTGAATGTGAACTTAATTAGTTTATATACGTTTTAAATGAAACTTTAACGGTATTTTATGTAAGTGTTTATTATTTGTAATTAATTTTTAACCTGTAAAATTTTTAAAACAATATGAGAACCACCTAATTTTTGTACCCTAGCGCCTAATATAGACACGAGGAAAAATCAGCGTCATGTCTAAAAAGGACATGCCATATAGTTGGGTGACATCATTTTTTATTGTGACAATATTTTTTTAAGTGTAAATTGAAACGCTAAACAAATATTTTTTATTATTTCTTTCTTCTATAGACCTTTTAGTAAACTGCTACAAGGAATGATTCAAGGCGTCTGAGGCTGCATAGATTGGCTCTCTGTAACAGTGATTTATTTAAATGTCTCGTATGTTCAGGAATTATAATAATTATAGCTTTATTATCTATACCCGCAACTTTGTCCTCGTGACTTTTATATATTGATCGACCTGTTGGATAAAAGTTGCCTTATGTCCTTCTCTAAGCCAAATACTATCTGTATGCCAGGGGGTAAAAGAATTGTTATATGTATGTAATAGAGCCTAACAGCCTCAATATGCCATATCAAGTCGACCTCCATGAGGTTCCCTCTGGAAACCATCGTGATTAATTTTTGTCGAATTCGCCACGATGTGTCAATAGACTTCCTTTCATTCTCGCCTATTATTTCTCACTGGTGCTCCACCAGCATATACTGATAGCTCCGACGGAGTTACCATTCCATTTTTACCCATAATCTTTATACCAAATTTTATGGATTCAACTCTAACAAATAAACTTATTTTCCCATTATATAATATTAATATGGATAGGGATATCTTTGTTTATTTTAAGATACAACAGCCACATTGCGGTGTACGCACAGAATTCTAGCTTCTATTCTTTATGATTGCCTTAATCTAATTCGCTGTGCGAATTGGTATTTGTACGGTGCCGACCCGCAGTCTGTACAATCAGGCAATTGTGTCAAGGGTTTATTTACTATACCAACATTTATTTGAAAATAATGTCCTTGTTATTATTGAAAATTTTTATTATTATATAGATATGAAAGTTTGTTTCTTAAAATAAAGAAATATATTCGTTAAACATAAAAATATTTTTATATAATATTTTGTAGTATAATTAATTTAATAAATTACTATAATTAGATATATAATAAAATAATACAATTAATTTAAAAATAGCCATGTAGGTCCCGGCTTAGAATAGGTCACCCTTTACTTTCTTGTGGGTGTCGTAAAAGACGACTAAGGGAATTTAATACTAGAGGGATGGGCAGCAGCGTCTCTCCTAAAATATCAGTAAAAGCCTAACTGCGGTTGCCAACCAGCCTGCCAAACGTGGCAACTACTGGCTTTTTTACTTTATTTTTTTTTATTTTTTATACGACTGTTGTAACCATAAATAATATAGATAAAATGAAACCAAAAAATAAAATAAATAGAATTATACAAAACAAAAACCTCTTAAAATATTTATTACCAGTATAATAAATACCTGTTAGAATAAACAGGTTTTATTTTAAAAATTCAAAATGAATAGAGGTTGTTTGATGTAATTAATTTTGAGTCAAAGTAATTTTAAATACCTATCTAACTCAATAAAACAATTTTCAATTGCGACGGAAATATCAAAGCGTTAAAATTTAATAGTTCGTATAATATAATAACAAAAATATGCAAATGTGTAAAACAATTAACTGTCAATGAACTTAACTGTATTATGTGAATGAAATAATGCATAGCGCTAGAAAGAGATAGCAAAAGCATTTCATACAACACGAACAGGTGTCCCTGTCTAGTTACTTGTTGTTTGTTCGAATGTTTTTGTATTCATAGGACAACCAGAGGCGTGTCACCAAAATAATATTGTAATTGTTTCCTCACTCTTAGAGTGCATACTTATTGGACACTTTCTATGGAAAGTTCCTTGTCCCTATACCTCGTTACGATTTGTACCTACACGTGTGCGAGAGTTAGAAATTAGTGGCCAGTATTATTCTCGCCCTAAATTCCTAATATTATAAATGTAAAAGTTTAAAAATGTTTATTGCACAATAACGGGTAGTCACCCGTCGGTGCAGTCGCATGGATTTATATATAACTAGACCATGTGAATTTAATAAACTTGCTGTTTCTAGTCTCCATTCCGTATAAGTGACTGAAAGGATTTCAAATAAAATTTAGTACACAAATTCTATATAGTAGATTACCAAACAGGATACTTTTACCCTAATTCACGCGAATAAAACCGCGTGTTATTGTTATTGCTAGTCACTTATATAAGAAACCAATGTTACTCAAAAATAACATTTTAAACATTTATTAATTAAATACTCGAATATATAATAACAATAAAACAAAAATAAATTTTTTGAATAAGTTTTTTTATAATAATTATGCAAATTACCATTAATTGTTTTTACCTATATACAAAGGCTAATAGATAGATAGTATTAATTTCTTGGTTTTTAAGTGATCAATTAAATATTAAAGTAAAATCACCTAACACCAATTAAATTTAGCATTTGATTCAGCATTGTATCAACAACTTGAACATCTGTTTGTCGGGACAATTTGTTTTGCATTTGAATAAATAAAATATACATATTTTTTTTTTATTTTAGAGCATCCACTCCTTGACGTAATCATATTACGCCGTTGAACCTTCAAATTATTTGCTCATGTCAAATGAATGCCTTTTTATTGTTTCAGGTGGCTTGGAGGGCAAATACAGAGTCGCCGCTCCTGAGCTCATGCAGGATACCTTCATGAGCGACTCTGAAGACGAAGGAGGTATGTTACAAATAGAAATAATAAATATTATATATTTTTTAATACTTGAATATTTAGTAAAACAAAGCTAAGGGCATTAGTATGTTGTTTTATTAAAATTAGTTATTCAATACAAGACACATAATTTAATAATAATTCGTAATAAATGAACACGAAATCCTTATTCTAATTGTATATTTCATACGGCCAATTAATACCTGAAATATAATGTTATCATGTAAATTGTTTTTTAAACTTCGGTTATTTCGACATAAAACTGAGGTGTCAGTTAGCCCTTTATAATATAATCAATATAGATTTCCCGTTTACAAAGAAGATATATTGTTTGTATATATTAGAATTTTGTAATGACAGGCGAAGTAGAGTGTCCAATTCAGCAGCAACAACAGTACCGCTACATGAACAGCGAGGCAGGCACGCTGCACCGGGCGAGGCCGCTCGAGGACAGCGTCACCGACGGACACCTGTGGCCCAGCAACAATGATAAGAAAGTGGCCACCATCGACCGTCAGCCGCTAGACATCGGGTCAGTATAACAACAACTACATATGTAAGAACAACCGGGTAGCATAGACGTATTTAAGGAGTTTGTGCTCACACCGGAATTGTTTGGTGTCCATCCAAGATGCAAGCGGTAAAAACCTCCGCTTTAATTTTGGGTAGTAATCCGCAGTATCACGCAAAGACATATCGGAGAGCTAGAAGCAAGGTTTCTCTGAAAAATAACCATAAATATACTAATGCCAGGCAGATTTGCTCTATTGAGCGAAATAGCAAGAGATAGTGTCACTGACGAGTGACTATTCCAACGATTATGGACAAGAAAGTGTCCATGATCGACCGGCAGTCGCTCGACATGGTTAGTATAACAACACCCCTTTTGTATATGGCAATAAAAGACCATCGCAGTCCATAAATGTTTGCAGTACCTGAAGCGTTACACCATACCGAGTCATGTGACATGAAATTTCAAATCATGGTACCCAGTGATTCCACTGTCATAGATATCTCAACTATTGAGGGCGTGGATCAAGTTTTTGTAAAATATTACCAAATTTAAGCAAGTGCTTATATTTTGTTTGGCATGGAGTAATTACCTGACAAATTTAATTATATTTAAAATTCAAATTATATTCATAGTATCCTCAATATTGTCAAAATTAACTTTAACTTTTGAGGCGTAGTACCTGAAAGAAATGAAATTTAATTTAATGTCAACTTTCGAACCAGAATACAGCACGCGTGCATACTACATTATCGCAGAATTAATATGTAGACGAAGTTACCCTTCTTCATGCAGGTACTATTTTAGAGACATCAGAAATTCAGATACAATTTAAAATGATAAAAGGTTCAGACCTTTTATCATACTGCACGTTCACATCATCAGTTTATCTAGTGCGAAATATTCAAATCTTTTTTGGAATTTCAGACTATATTTTTTTTTATACGACTTAGAATGGCAAACAAGCTGACGGCCCACCTGATGGAAAGTGGTAACCGTCGCCTATAGACATGAGCAGTACCATGGATATAACAGAGTATACTCTTTCGCCCATGATACCCCCGTGCGTTGTCATTCCTGAGGACTCAGGTGTTATTCCTCTGTACCCTGTAAATTCACGCCATATCCCGCCCTTCAAACCGAAACACAGCCATGCAAGCACAACTGCTTTACAGTAGAAACACGAATGGGACAGAGGTACCCAAGCAATCGACTTTTGTACAAAGTATCCCTCTAGGGAGACTTTGTTGATGATGATCCCCTTTCTATGGGGAAAATGATCACTTTCATTGCCGTTATTGGTTATATTATTAAAAGCTAATTTTTGACAACCCTGTCTAGGATTATAGTGGTACCCATATTTATTTCTGCGATCTTTCTCCTTTAGGTTCCTGGTGTCGTTCGTGGTGGATGCTCGCGGTGGCGCCATGAAGGCAAAGCGCCGCGGCGGTGTCCGGATCATCGTACCACCAGCCGCCTGCGCGGCGCCCACTCGCGTCACATGCCGGTACGAATACATACTTTGTACTTTGAGAAAAACACGTGTCTATCAAGTTATGTTTTTTTTAGGCCGCTAATAATGAATACCTCGCGCACTGCTGTCCAATTCTAAATTCAAACCTATAGATACACGACATCTTATTATCAGATAGAAATATGTATTATTACATTTTATACATAGTATAATGTTATAAAGAAAAATGAATTAAACTACGTGATTTTAACTGTTATCAAAAGTGAATGGTTCTCTCTATAAATTTCGGTGTCCCTACGGGGTGTCACGTGTCTTATGTGCTTACTTATTATAATATCTAATTTGCACCACGTGGCATGCGAATAAATATAAATAAATAAATAAATATGCCCAAAATTCCAATAGGAGTTTCCAAATTATTTGTTTTCCAGCATACTTATAGATTTACCACATTGTTTATAGTCGAAGTATATGGATACCTAATGATATTTTTTTATGTTTATTACACAGCGCTTTACTTCATTGGGTAAAAATATGTGCCACATTTTATAACTAACCTACATTTGTGCCATGTTTCATTCAATTCTAATGATGATGCATTATTAAATAACAAACCCATACATACCCTCTTAAAACATTATTAAGGCGTTTTACATTAGTAATGCGGACTACCAGTCATATTGCTAAGTAATATACCCTGTCAGATCGATCTCCACCTGATCTCCCCTGGAGACCATCGTGTTATTTTTTTTTTGATGAGTGAAAATGGTATGGTAACTCCGCCTGCGCTAACGAGCTACGCTGGCGGAGCACCAGTGAAGGGTGATAGATGAGAATGAAAACAGGCCAGTTAGCCCATCATGATGAATTCATCAGGAATTAACCATGATAGTTTCCAGGGGAACCGCGAGGAGGTCGACCTGGTTGGGTATATTGCTAGCAATAGGATTCTCAGTCTCCATTACTAACAATCCCTTTCTCCCTCCCCCCCCCCCCCAACGTGTTGTATTTATCACGATAGGTTCACTAACTTACCTTTTCATTCTCACCAATCATCTATCTCTGATGCCCCGCCAAAGTATACCGTTAGCGTAGGTGGAGTAACTATTCCATTATCATCCATTAAAAAAACTGTGGTTGCCAACCCGCCTGCCAAGCGTGGCAACTACTGGCAAACCCCTCCTTATGGGGGAGGCCTATGTTCAGTGGGCAGTTAACGGTTGAAATGCTGATGATGAATCATATACAGCATCAACATTCATCCATACATCAAACCAATACAGCCATTCAATTGAAATCTACAAATAGCGTAGTGGATAGACGATTTTCCCCTTACAACCGCAGTGATCGTTTTAATGACTAACATTTATTAACACATGGAGATCTATTAAAATTTGCAGCACTAGAGAAACGCGGATATCCTAATGAGCCAACAATAGCAAGTTGACTCATTTATGTGACCAGGGTTTTGGGTAGTTGCCACTGTATCTTGAGCATTATTACGTTATATGGTTTCCGCACTTTACGCTAGCATTTATATACGTATGGTATTAATAGAAGCTGTAATAAATTATTTAGATAATGACTAGATAGTAAGGATTATTTTACGACCCATTCCGCCTTCGTTCGACCGCAATGTTTAGGAACACTAATTTTTATTTTATTTCATTAAAATTTTATTGTTTCCCTATTTAAACACAATATTTTTTTTCAAATAAGTATAGTCTTATACAGTATAATAATAAGAATTTCTAGATACAATTATAATTATACGTTAACTTGACAATTTTCTTTCTGTTTTATTATTTAAAAAAAAAAAAAGAAACTATGAACCCGAGATGAAATATACGTTACAGCCTAAATGGTCGCATACAACGCGGTTTCAGAGATGTTTTCTCCCACGAACACTCAGGTTATGGAATGAGCTCCCTGCCGAGGTTTTCCCAAGAGACTACAGCATGGGGTTCTTCAAAAGGGGGGTAAAGAGGTTTCTTCAGGGTCGGCAACGCGCGCGTAATACCTCTGATATTGCAGGCGTTCATAGGCTGCGGTAATCGTTTGCCATCAGGTGGGCCGTATGCTTGTTTGCCACCTTAGTGGTATAAAAAAAAAAGATGTCTATACAAATTTTTATTCAAATTGTTTGAACCTTTCAAATGTCGCAAACTTCTTTACAAAGTTCATTGGTCTCACATATTAATATTGAATCTAAATAATTAATACACAGTGAAAAAGAACACAAGGTCTGACTTTTTAAACTGTGTTAATAAGCATCCTGCCTTTAAAGGATATGGCATACTGCTAAGTATATGTGGACCATTTAAGTGTTTTATGTCATCTTTTGTTCTTTTTTTTTTTTTTAGTACAATGTCACTGTTATAAGTTTTTAGTTACTCTGTATCTTTAAGTTATCATATACCATATATCAGCCGTTAACTGTCCACTGCTGAACATAGGCCTCCTTCTATTGGAGAGGTTTTATCATTAGTTACCACAATTGGCAGGCGGATTGATACCCACAGTTAGGCATTGGTGATGGTTTAATAGGAACACTGTTGCCCATCCCTCGACCATTAAGTTCCCTTAGTCGCCTCTTACGACGCCCACAGAACAGGAAGGGGTAGCCCATTGTATATGGAGACCACACATCTTTAAGTTAAGCAATACTTAAATATTTTCCCATACTTTATTAAAATTTATTCACTTTATAGTGCGGCGACTCGCAGAGCGCCTGCAGCGGCGCCCCCACCACTCATGGAGGGCGAGGCGTTGGCTTCACGACTATTAGAGCTACAGCCGCAAGGAGCTAAATTCTTGGCGTAAGTATATTGTAATAGAGAAAACTCTTACAGGAAGGAAGGTCTGAGGAACTGACAGGAAGGTCTTGAGTCGCCATCGTCACCGTAACAACTTATTATGGTCTCCATACTAAGCATATTTGCATAATTTTGACTAATTGGCATAGGTGAAAGATTAGATTTCCAATATAATGCTAGCGAGAATTATATTTTATTTTTTTCTTTAATTTACGATACTTATGCAGACAACTTTTGAACTAAGTCTGGTACCTTCCTCACTAGTATTTTACGCCTTCCTACAGAAATACAACTTGCAACTTACTTATAAGATTTCGAATTTTAAAATATAAATTAACATTATAAGTAGCAGTATCCTGTGGCTTCATCGGCGTGAATCAGTTTATAAAGCAACCTATGTGCTAACGTAAGATTTAACTTGCTTGTATACCAAATCTTAATCAAATCCAATAACAAGAAGATTAATGTATTTTTCTTACTCTTTCACGCAAAAACTGTTTAATAGTAACAAAAATACATCAATGTTCTTGTTACAAACTTTCGCATTTATTAAATAAATTCGGATTTAAGTACTTAAATTATAAACAAAGTTATTTGAATTTATTTTCAAATATGGAATTTTTTATTTTTCTTATTGTCACGCGGCTCCGTAATAAGCCAATTTTTACGTTCTTATATTATAAACACATTAATATGATTTACTTTAATCATAAACAGAATTATTTTAAAATGTATAAATATTTATTTTTCTTGTTTGTACACAGCCCTGTAATAATCGAAGTGCCAATCTTCACGTCGTCGTGCCCTGAACGCGAGATCGTTATACTACGCTCCGACACAGGCGAGACCTGGCAAGACCACTACCTGCACAGCAACGACAACCCTATGATACAGGTTGGCACAACCGAACACATGTCAACAATTGAACATTTACATAATATCTTTTAATATAGAGAGATAGATATATAGCATTTTATTTTTATTTTTAACAAGCATATTGAAAGGGAATCTAACAATAATATCTTTTTAATTCTACTGTGAAGCAGTTGTGTTTACATAGCTGTGTTTCAGTTTAAAAAGTAGGAAATGGCAGGGAATTTACAGGGTACAGAGGTATAACACCTTAGTCCTTAAGAACGGCAACGCATGGGGGTATCTGGGCGAAACAGTATACTCTGTTATGTCCATGGTACTACTCATGTCTATAGGCGACAGTTACCAGTTTTCATCAGGTGGACCGTCAGCTTGTTTGTCATTGTTAAGTAAGTTAAGGTAAAGTTATAAGTTGTATACAAAATCTAATACTTTTAAAATGAACAAATTATTTACTATTTGTTCTTCTTTGACTTATTAATATATAATAATTATTAATTTAATATTTTAATGCGGCTATTATGAATAATAAAACAAACATTTATTTAAAAAAAAAATGAAAATCACATTTAAGTAGTTTTAACTAATCGCTTTTACAGATTGGATTCTCACCATTTTTAATTTTGATAGCTCTTTCGAATTTAACAATCGCTACACATAGCCTCTTATTATCCAGGAGGCACTACAAAAAGAACGTCAAGAACACGGCAACAGCGGCGAGACGCTGGGCGAGAACGGCGAACGCGTAACACGCATTATCACTTGTGACTTCCCGCATTACTTGGCAGTCGTATCGCGCATACGGCAGGAGGTGCACATCATAGGACCCGAGGGAGGTACCGTCTCCAGCGCTCATATACCGCAGGTAAATATTATACACGAAAAAAAGAATATAATGAAAAACTCCATACAAACATATTCGAGGGGAACGCAATAAACGTCTGTCTCACCGGTGACACGGTCGGCTAAAATTCGCAATCAACAATGTTAAAGTACGCACAAGTTTTTGTAAAGTATGAATTAAAATTTCTTTCACGCATGAAAGAAAGAAAGAAAAAAAAAATATTCTAGTAAACTTAGGTTTAAACATTTTTTAATAGTATTTTTTTATGACTCGCTCGTCGCCTAAAATTCATATTTAACTAACCCAAGGTATAAGGTCTGTGCTTACGGATAGCGTACTGGTACCCTATGTGTAGCCTACAAATATCTATAGATTAAACATTAAAAGGGCTGATAGAACAAAACTATGTCAATTAATCTGTATTTGTTATATAGTTACAAGAGTTGTTACTAAAAAATAAATCTTTGAGACTATTAACCTCAAATAGGATATTATTTCAATAAGGTATCATTCAATTTTAATATTTGATATTTTTTTTTTAATTTATAATAAAAATAATTTATAAATACTATTTATAAATGTCAAAAATTAATTTTCTGACATTTATTTTTTAATAGGTATCTGTTATTTATTATACCATTATTGACATTAAACTGCAGTCCGTTAACAAAAAAATTGCATGCTAAAATTGGCAAAACATGTTCGAAATAAAACGTCATGAATGTACCAACTGTACTGACATGTTTATGCAAATAAATGTACCTTTGTGCATGAGCAGGTGCAGGCGCAGTTCCCGGCGGCGGCGCTGACGAAGCGCATCCGCGTGGGGCTGCAGGCGCACGGCGCGCCGGCCGCGCTGCAGCGGCGCGCGCTGGGCCGGCGCGGCGCCGCCTCGCCCGTCGTCACCGTCGAGCCGCGCCGCCGCAAGTTCCACCGCACCATCACGCTCACCGTGCCGCTGCCCCACCACACGGTACGCCCATAACATCAACTCTAACCTCATTTTTTTTACGTCGAAATATCATGGAAACCCGCCATTATGCCGACCTCCTACAAACTAAAACCCTAATACATTGTACCTTTTCGCCATAGTGCCAAGGTCACTTCACTTTTGAATTCTACCGTTATATGGCAGCAACTAAACTATATCATACTACAGTACTAGAAATAATAAAACAAAGTGCCGCACTTGTGTGTTTTCATTAATATTTTAATATATAAAAATCCCGTGCCTCGATGTTCGTTCACTCTAATTTCGGAACAAGCTCAGCTCATGAGTTCTTTAAAAAAAATAAATGTAAATAAAACAACACGTACAAAGCGACGATGTAGGGTTTTGTTATTCAATGTTAGTTTTCAGTTTATACAATGATTTAAAAAAAAAAGACCTTCTTTTTCAAGTCCAACTATACTATTATATTAAGTATTATCATTTAAATATAGCCCAACAAAACATTTAGATAATCTAACATATATTTTATATCAAACATCTTTGGGTAAATGGCCAATAAAAAACAAATAACAAAATTTATGTACCTAATTGCAGGGCGGCGCTGCAGAGAAGCCTCCAACGTCAAGCTTACGGTTGCTCTGTTCCATTATGGGAGGACAAGCGCGTGCCGTCTGGGAAGATGTCACCGGATCCACGCCCCTCACGCTTACCGAGGACTGCGCTTCTTTCACCACCACCGTATCTGCTAGGTAACCAATCTTCAACGTACCCCATATACCACATAGTATCCGCAAGGTACTGCATCATAACGGGAAGATATTTCATCACATCCACCGCCCTTTTTCTACTATTTCCATTGTTATCTTCACTAAGTACCCTATAATCTCCGGCAAGTACTCCACAATTTCCAGGTACCTCATCATTTCTCTCGTACTCATTGACATATTTGTCTAATAGTTTTTGCGTGCTTTGTGTCGTAATCTCCAACGAAATGTATAATTAGCATAAAAACATTTAGTTTTTTTTTTTTTTTATAATTAAATATTTGTCATTGTCATTCATATGAAAACTAATTTTTTTAAATCAACCTCCACGACAATAGTACGAAATTTGATCCTTTGAGCCGGATTTAAACCGCCAACCAATTAGTAGGTACAGTGTATGTGTACAAATTCACATTCCAATTTTATTAACTGTGTATTTAAAATTACAATAAAAATATATTTACAGGTTTTGGCTGATGAACTGTCAAAACGTCAGTGATGCAACAAAACTCGCCACCGAATTGTACAGGTATGTATTTTTGAAGGCATCTCTGTACTTTAACCCTTAAATACGTGAAGTTTCAAATTTGATATCGGGGTTTGCATTGTTTTATTGTTAAATAAATTTAAATATTTTGATTACCGTAATGCCTAAAGTATCAAAAATAATACCAAATGTTTTTTTCAAAATAAATATATAAGAAATAGTTTTGATGTTTTTACTATTTTTCCCCATTAGTAAACACAGTAAAGGATACACTTATATATTTTTTAATTTGATTTAAAAAATCAGACTTTTAAGGGTTAATTGTGTTTCAAAAGTTTGGTATGAGATATAAATTAGGATGCTTAGCAATAGAATCTTAATAGATCGTTATGTTTATGGTGACCATAGAGAAATGTTGGTGGTACCGTTCGAGGCACGCGTGGTGGTGCTTGGCAAGCGGCTGGACGCGCTCGAGGGTCGGCTGTTAGTGCTCTACATCACAGACCGGTACGCGTACGACACGCTGCTGCACCAGGTCCGTATTAGGGAATTTATTTATTTAAATAACTTTATTGATTAAATGAGAGTGTGGTACGATGGACATTATGTTTGGCTATTCGATTACAGTCAACTCCTATATACTGCAATGTATAGAATATCACTTTACAGCGACTGTACCTATTTGGTTAATTCTTTTTTTTTTGTGTTTGTAATTGCCAAGACAACATTTGTATAAAAGAAAATTTAAAAAATAAAAATCCTATGGAAAAGTTAATAATTTAGGTTCTAAAAACCTCCACATAAAAATGTGAGTGATTAAATGAAACAGAAAATAAGAGATTTTCGAAAATATTCATACATCCGTGTAAAGTCGGGGTGGGTAGCCAGTATTATATAAAATATTAAGATTGTGTTCCACAAAATGAAATCGACTTTAATTGTGGCAAAACTAGTTATTTTGATTTAAACACTAAACTACTAAACCTCTAAAAATTTTAATAAAATTTCTATGGGACCAAATTCTCTTTTTAAATAAAAAATAAATTTTCCAGATCAGTTAATAATCAAACTATAAATATACTATTCTAACTAAAAAATAAATAAAAATACAATCAAATTCACCAAATACCAATTCAAATACAACCAAAGATTAAAAATAGAACCTCCTTTTTGAAGCCAGTTGACTAAAAAGTCACTTTTAATTTTTATATACATGTAAGAATAATTCCAATTGTATGTAAGAGTAATTCCAAAAATTTAAATATGTAATTAGTTCCTGTTTCTTATGTAAATAACTGTTTAAATGCAGGAACACTACACAGAAGTGGCTCACTCGACGTCCGTCCGTTTTCTGGACGGCAAAGAAGTATACCTGGAATTCTCAGGAAACCTCGTGCCAGTCACCAAGTCTGGCAGCCAGCCGATGTTGACTTTCGAGGTAAGAAATCAAGAATTAAAATTATTTATTTATTAAACGACATTTTAGGTCATTTAGGCACGTTTTTGTTTTTTTAATCCTGGCAGTTCAATTCAGTAATTTTTTTTTGTTATTTTTGAAGGAAGATTACAGCTTACTAATTAATAATAACTTAATAATTAATAATATATGACAAACAATGAGCTAATTATAGTTAATAATGTTCTAAAGATTGAGAGTATGACTGCAAGGGTGGTATACCTGATACTCAGTATTATCAAAAGGATATATTCGCTGGAAGAATGATATATTACCATATTCGCTGAAAGTTATACAGGTATATGCACCGACTGTGACACACTCCGATGATGTGGTGGATGAGGTGGTGGAGGCAATGTATGAGAAAATTACAAGAGTTATACATTCCTCTAATACTCAATATACTGTATTGATGGGGGATTTCATCGCTAAACTGGGCATAAGGAAAGACGATGAGACAAGAATGGGGAACTACGGTATCGATCAGCTAAATCTTAGGACTGAATAAGTTCAATATCAGAATAATAATAATCAGTTGGCTGACTTCATGGTGAAGGAGGGACTCTTTATGATGAACTCCGTATTCCTTAGTACATCCTGCATTTATTATATAAAAAAAAAAAATACTAAAAATAATTTGTCTTCAAAATTATAATATCATTTATTCATACAATTAAATAACCAAAATTATTTTCTGTAGACATAGATTAATTCTAATTTCTATAGCACAATCTTAGCAAATATATATATTCTTTATTGCACTAAAACATACAGTAACAACAATAAGTTAATAACAATGTTAGCAAAGGCGAACTTATCTCTAAAAGAGATTTTTTCCTTTATATATATAAACCAATATTTGTCCTTGTCAATAATTTTCTTTATAGAATATTTTATTTATATTTCAGGCATTCAAAGATAACCGCGTCGAGTTCACGGTGCGTGTTAAACACCACGAGGAAAGCCCCACGGGAAGAATTTACTTCATGAACGAACCCAAGGTATCGCTTTCACTCATATATTTAGTTGCTTTATAACGCGAGGAACAGCCTCGCGTTTTCAATGGAATTTCAGAAATGTCAGTTAGAAATATTTATGAAAATTATGTAGATACATAAGAATCTAGAACTTTGTTTGTACATTGATAAGCCTGTCAATTTCTTCGTTCATCTGAATACGGACATACATATTATCTCGAATCAATTTTTGAATTGCCAGAGAAAATTTCTAGTGGAAATAAATGCAATGTTATAAAAAAAAGTACTACTGGTTTACAGTGATAGTTAACCAAGGAGTCAGTTGGCCCATCGGAATGAATTCACCATGCATTAATCACGATGGTTCCCAGCGGAACCACGTGCAGATCGAACTAGCACGATCGATTTATAGATTCGGGTATATTGCTAGTAATATGGCCACTAAGCATCCAATAGACACATGGCCTGTTGCAGTGGTATTTCCAAGAAACGAAGCTAAATTTCATATTATATCAGCTGTTAATTCACCATTGCTGAACATAAGCCTCTCCCATCTCTTAGAGGGTTTTGCCAGTAGTTGCCACGCTTGGCAGGCAGATTGGCAATCGCAATTAGGCTTTGATGAAGTTTTAAGAGGGACGCTACTACCTACCCCTAGACTATTAAGTTCCCTTAGTCGCCTCCTATGACACCCACGGGAAAGAAATGGGTGGCCCATTGTATGCTTTATAATAGTAGATAGAATGTAATTGATTGTATTTGATATGTGACAGGTACCCAAGGGCGAGCAGTCGCAGACACCGGCGTGTGTGCTGGACGTACAACTGCCAGACAGTATCGTGCCACGCGCCGGCAAGAGTCAGCTCGATTACCTCAACCTAGACCAGTCTGGTGAGCATATTTAATAACCTTTTCTCAAACATGCTTGGAAATGTGAGCATTATTTTGACAATCTTCTTAGTGATAAATCAAAATTGCCGTACTGGCCAGATACATGCCGGCAAAAGTTGTATGAAAATCCACATCTGTCGTGTTTTGCGGCCAGGTAAATTACTATGTAAACTCATATCTGTCCTGTAATTTAAAAATGGAATGACCTTTTACTTCGAAACATGGCTACCAAGGAGGTAACTAATACAAGGTTTTATTTAAATTTCGAACTGGCTTGCAAGTAGAAAGCTGTTTATTGAAAAAAAAACAAGGAACATTATGACGCGTGAAAAATTATTATTGTTCGTTATTCGTCATTGAACTTAAAAAGTAAAACTGTGTTTTTGATTTGCGCGCATTGTTTGAGAAAAGTACTATACAAGGCTTGGCCACAACTAGGCATTAATGGACTCACGTATGTGTGCCTCGGCTACGCCTCGGCCCACATTTGCACGTTCTTCCATCAATGCCTCAGTTGCTGACTATATCTTCAATAGACGTCATATTAATAAATACTGCTCCTCTAGATAAGTTGGAGACGAATTCTATGGAATCGTTTCAGTTAGTGTTTTTATGAGGAACAACTAAATACCGAACATCACTAGCTCAATATTATTGACTCGCTAGTGATGGACTACAACGTATTATACATACACATAGCGCCATCTACCATCTAGCTTGTACTATAGCTATTATGGTCCCTTTCAATAAAGCTTAATGATAATATGAACAAAGGAATAATTGACTGTTCTGTTTCAGGCTTTGATGCATTAAAAGACGAACTGAGCTTCCACTGGGGAGGCGATCACAATAACAGCCTGGGTCCAGGCTCGTTACCTTACCAAAACGACAAACAGATCAACGGGCACGTAAGTACACAATTTCTTTTTATGCGACTTAAAAAACAGGCTATGTACCTATCTAATGAAAAGTGGTAACCGTCGCCTATAGACATGAACGATATTATGGATATAATAAAATATACTAAGTCGCCCATGATACCCCCTATGTGTTGCCATTCCTGAGGACTAAGGTGTTATGCCTCTGTACCCTGTAATTTTATTTCAATATTCCTTACATATGATCCTATAAACAGACATATAACCATGCAAATACAACTGCTTCACGGTAGAAGTACTATTGAGACTGACTTTGTACAAAAGTACCTAAGCAATAGGACTTTTGTACAAAGTCTCACTCTGATGATTATTATAACGCATGTCAAAATATCACGTATAATAATATATTAAATATTTTCATAAAAATATTAATCTCTCCTTATTTTACAGGACAAGATAATAACTAATGGTGACGTGAAATATCCAACTAAAGATACAGATGACTCGGTCACCAAACCCCAAGGTAATTATAAAATTGTACTTACCTATAGTTAATCTGTAAAATAGTTAAAACGAGAACATTTTCCAGTTCAAGCGAGACCATTTTAAATACTGTTTTGTTTTTGAATTACACGAACCAATTATTTTAAATGTTAAACTCTGCACTTATTCGTTGTCTATTGTTTAGAATCAGGTGTCTCCATTTTTTCACATGAACTTATTCCTATGAAGGTTGTAATAAATAATATATCTAATTTACAGTTAATGGTGACACAGTACACGTAGATACAAACAAGACCAAAGCAACGTTTGATTCCGATGAGGATAAAACGCCATTGAGTACCCTAGAAAAAGGTAAAAAGAAAACCGAAGGAGGGTCCTTCTTCGGAGGCCTCGCAGATAAAGTGAAAAATGTGTTCAGTCACAGCGAAGACAAAGACGAGGAAACCCAGAAAGACAAAGAATCATCTCCTAAACCTCAGCCGAAACCCAGAGAGTCCAAAGAAAAGAGTCCACCGAAACCTGCTCCCAGAATCATAAACGAAGATTTGTTAGATAAAGTCGAAGATATGTTCAAGGATCTTAAGCAGAAACCAAGGCAGAAAGACGATGAAGATTTACAGAGTACCGTATACACAACGAAATTAGTAGTCGATGAGGATGATCGCCCGTTACAAGAAGTACAGGAAGAAGTTTATAATCAATATGCAAATATGCAACCAGTTGATACACCACAATATAATAAAATTTCAGACCCATTCCAACATCCGAGATGTTGTGATAATAGGTATAAACACAGCCATGAAGAAACATCCAATTTGGAAGATATTATAGAGCATACAAACTTTGCTGCTCATGAAAAGCTTCAAGAAGTGAGCGATAATACAAAAAGTAATTTAAATGATGGTTTGGCTAAATTGGAGAAAGAAAAAGAAAATGTCAAACAGAAAGTGGATGAAATTAAGGACGATATTGCTGGAAAATGCGAGAAAGTAAAGGATGATATAAAAAATAAGGAACAGCAGTTAGAAAAAAGTGTTCAAGATATAATACAAGGCGCACATGGTAAATTTACTGACTTAAAAGAATCAGCGCAACAGTTGCATGATGATGTCAATGTTAAAGCGTCTGATATATCATCGAAGGTTGCTACCGATATTAATAACATAAAGTCTTCCACAAAGGGTGGCGTTGATCATCTTATACATACCGCAAGCGGGGTTACAGTAGATTTAAAAGACAAAGCTAATGAAATAAATTTCGCAGCTTTAGAAAGAGCAGAACAACTGAGACTTAAAGGGCACGATAAATTAACCGAAGTTGGAGAAACTATTGAAAATAAAACAGATGATCTCAAAAATAAAGCAAAAGAGTTTGCAAGTGATGTCAAGGCAAAGACTCATTATGGAATTGATTCTGTAGTCGATTCCGTTCATAATGTACAAGATAATTTAAGTCAAAAAGCACACGAAACAAAGACTGGAATTAAAGAAGTGACTGATAATATCAAAGAAGCTACAAATGAAAAAATTAAAGAATTGAATCAATCAGTAGATGGCGCAAAAGAAAAAGCTTCAGATCTTAAAACTAAAGCAAATAAAGCGAAAGATGACGTTAAATCTGAAGCCAAAAAGAAGTCGAAAGAAGGAAAAAACTTTTTCACTGGACTTGTGCATAACATATTTGGCGAAAAAGAAAAACTGGAAGATGAAATTAAAGGAAAAGAGTCGGCTGAAGATATAGTACAGGAAGCTTCCAATAAGAAGGATAAAATCGAAAAAGATATTAAGAAAAATAAAGATGAAATCAAAGAAAGTGCTGAACAGTTAACCCAAAATATTCAAGACAAAAAAGGGGAACTATCTAAAGTTATTGATGATAAAAAAAGTGAAACAGAAAAAGCCATTCATGATAAAACGGAGGATCTAAAGAAAACTGTACAAGATAAAACAGAAGAAATTAAAGTAGCTACTCAAAATAAAGTAGATGAAGTCACAAAAGAGATCCAAAATAAAAAGAAAGAAGTAAACAGTGCCATTCAAAGTAAAAAATATGACGTAGAAAAAGCCATCCATGATAAAACAAATGATGCATTAACATCACTTCAAGAAACTAGTAATACATTCCACAGCGAAAAAGATAAATTAGAAAAAGTCGCCCGTGACAAAGTAGACGAAGCACAACAGAAACTTCAAAATAAGAAGGATGAAGTTGTAAGTGTAGTGCAAAGTAAAACTGAAGAAATAGGTCAAGCTATTAACGACAAAAAAGATGAAATAGGGAAAACTTTGAACGACAAGAGAGAAGAATGGGAAACTGCTATTCATCATGATGCTAATAATGCGCTGAATACTGTTCAAAATACAAAAGATAATATAAATTCAGCTGTCCAAAACAAGAAGGATGAAATAAGCGAAGTGCTTGCTAATAAGAAGAATGAAATAAGCGAAGTGCTCACTAATAAAAAGGATGAAGCACAAACAGAATTAGATAGAATAAGACAAGAAGCGGAACTAACGACTGAAGAAATAAAAAAATCTGCTGAAGATGCTTTGAACGCTGCAGTTGAAAAAGGCAGAGATGAATTTAACAGCATCCAGAAAGCGGCAAGTGACAAAGTAAGCGATGTGCAGCAGTCAACTAAACAAGCGTTTGATCACGTTCAAGATTCAGCCTTGAGTACTTTCGATAAAGTCGAAAGTTCAGCTAAGGATAAAGTGAAAGACGCCAAAGACAAGTGGGAGGATCTGCAAAGTTCTACACGCGACACTTACGCGGACTTCAAGGATGATGTTCACAGTCTGGGTAGCTCCGCGCAAGATACTCTACATAGTTTCCAAAGTTCCGCTGGCGACACCTTCGATAGTTTGGACGATTCTGCGCGAGAGATCTTCGGTGGAGTTCAGACTACGACGCAAAACGCTGAGACACGCTCTAAAGAGTTATTTGGAGATTTAAAGAATTCTTTCGAGGGTTTCCAAGTGTCTGCTGATAATAAGTTAGAGGACGTTAAAGGCGCGGCTAAAGACAAGTTGGAGGAGACTGAACAAAGGGTAGGCGAAAGCATACGGAATACAGAACAGGCGGTCGCGGATGCGGTCGCCACCGAAGCGGATAATTTCACCAGTAGTCTAAACGACTTGGGCAACTCTGTGTTTGGATCTTCAGGCAAAGGTAACTTGCACATTCTGATATAAATTTTAAAAGTTACTTTTATACATTGCAACATACTCATAAACTGACTTAACGATTAACTATACTATGAATGATTCTATATTCTTTATTTATAGATTAGTATTTTCATGAATACTATTTAAAGCCATATTATCTTTTTTTTCTTTCATCATCTCTCTTGATATAATTGTTTTTGCTGATTTCTTGATTAATATCTTTAATAATCACCATTTTATTATTTTCAGGATTTATGAAAGATTCGAGTACCAAATTATTGGAGTCCGAGAAAGCACAGTCTTCGCCACACAAAAAGGGTTCAGGGTAAGTTTATTATCAAATCACGTAAATTTCTACCAAGCAAAAAAAAATATAAGCCATTAATGCATTAAATATGTAAATAACGGCACGCAATGTCGGCACCTAATTAATTCACTATCAATTGTTATTGAACACATTGATTCATATTTTGAATTTTGATCAAAAAAATTGAAAAAGAAATTAAAAATATTTTCTTTTTTTCAAAATAAGAATGCTGTAGAAACATAAGATTTATTTCTGTGCCTTTAAATAAATTAAAAAAAAAAACGTATATCAGTAAAAGATCAAACATTGTACCATTCTATTTTTAAATGAAAATTCTAAAGAAACAAATAGGCATATAGATATGTCTTATAAAACTACATAAATTCTAAGCATATATACAAACCCACGAAGCCTGCCTCTAACCCACCCGCACGCATTTCAGAATACCGAAGCTAAAGCGGAAGAAATAGACGGCGAACGAACAGCGAACGCTAATTGTATGATATAGTTGTTTAGTTTTATTTATTATTGTTACGCTTTATACAAATAACGCGATTATTTCAATCTATACAAACTGTATTTAAATTTTTTCAGATATCGAGTAATCATGACGATATACCTCACACATTATTTATTTATTCCGTTTTAATAGACCTTTGTGTATGAAATAATCGATTTATTAGTAGATAGGCGCACTGTATATGTAATGTAACACGATGTTCCAGTGAATTCTATCTATATATAGAAGAGATTATTGCTATGTTCATCCACGTTAGTCACTCCCGTAAGATTACTGTTAAGTATTTTATTGTGTCAAAACTTTTGACTAATAACAATTGCCGATTTCAAAGAAATCATTTTATTAAATGTTTTTAACTTGACTATATAAATTGATTATTATTTAATTAGATGTTTATTTATATTTTATCTATGACCGGATAATAGACAATCTTGCCTAACTCGATATTATTAATTTTACAATGTTGACATTTTTATTAATGTAAAATTGTTCTTGTAATCTCAATCACGAAATTATGTAACATTTTAAATTAACGAATGTGCATTTTAATTAAGTATTTATAATAAATAGATGTCACTATCGATGTTTTGTGTTGCATAATTTATTTAATTTAACAGTGTTTTATTTATAAAGTTTACGTTGCTTTGTACAGCCATCTATATTTTTAGATATATTGCGTATGCATGTAGCGACGCTTTATCGTTAGCTCTTTTAGATATCTATTTTACTATTCGACTCGTTTGACAAATAGATCTGCTAATTTATTTTTATCTTGGGCTGCGAACGCTTCTGTTCGATGCCTTTATGTCACAAAGCCACGTCGTTCAGTTAAAGAATGTAGATTTTTAATATAATGTTTTTGTACATTAAATAACGAAAAATAAAATAGTACAAGAATATATTTGAAAATAAAGTATATTAATTTATAAACAACGCTTGCATTGCCTGCGATGTCTCTCTAAAAGTTGTTACATAAGGTATTATATGAGATTGTTCTCAAATGTTTTTGTGTTTTTATTTCATCTATGCAGTAATTTAAAAAATATATATATTAAACTTAAGTTAGAAACAAATAACGCCCACTTGAATTCGTTAGACAAAGTATGTATAGAGTTATTACTTATTCCTTGTGTCGCATTAGATAGAATAATTATCCTACCGGCTGTATATATAAAAAATATTTCGTGTTTGGAGGTATATATATTCCTCCCCCAAACTTGCTAAACAGATTTTCTTTGACCTTTTCCCCTTCCTAAAATCTATTGTACACCTTTTATCATCCTATCAGCCTTTAACTGTCCACTGCTGAACATAAGCCTCCCCCTTGGAGGGATTTGCCAGTAGTTGCCACGCTTGGCAGACGAATTGGCAACCGCAGTAATGCTTAAGAGATTTTTAAGAGGGACGCTGCTGCACATCACTCACCTCTTAGTCAGCTCTTACGACAACCACGGGAAAGGAAGGGGTGGCATAGTCTATGCCGGGACCACACGGCCATTGTATACCTTACCTACCTATATATTTGTATACCTTACTAGTTCCACCTAATGCGCAAGTCTCCTTACCATTTATAAAGTGAATTTTATAAAAAATTGATACTTTAAATACTTAAAGTTACAAAGTTACATATACAAACAGTATAAAAAATTGAAGCCTATCAACTTAGATGATCACAAGTGTACATCAAACAAAACTGAAGAACTTGAAGAAGTGTCCCATAAGAATAATAACTATGGAAATTATATTTTTAACATTATTTTTTTATTAGTTTTACCACCTTTAGCATAAATGTTTACACTTAGCACCGGTCATCACATTAATCTCAGATGAACTGTGACATGCGTATTGTAATTTATTTGTTAATATTTTTGTTAAACTTAATTCATGTATATCAATCGGAGGGCCTACCATGAAATATTTTCCGTAATTTCAGGGCTGATCGAAACACAAAATTAATTTTAAAATGACATATTACTTACCATTAAAAATATTAAAATATTATTCCTTTGGACTATTATGGTAAGATTTATGACAAACGAAATGTTAAGCTCCCATTTACTAGGCCAATTTCAGTAAGGACAAAAACACGAATTTGAGCCTTAAAATTTGCAATTTCATTTCATGGTAGACCTCCAATTTCTCAAAATGCGGTATTTACAAAATCGACTAGTCGTTGTGATCAATTGACGACACAAGATAACTTATTATTAATTTTAATAATGCATAATAAATGTTAGTATTTTTTATTAAGTTTCTTGTACTCTATGCATGTCACAAATCGTTACTGTCCACAAACACATTGTATGCCTCTTCACTGTTTGCATCACATTCACCGTAGGTAAGTTTGCTGTGTCGAATATATTTTTTTTATTATTATTCGAGCATTTTTGCCTATACTTTTTTTTTATTTATGTCTAAGCAATTTTAGCATGAAATTTGACCCAAAAGTAGTGTTTATTTTAATTTATATTAATATAATTAACATTTTTAACTATATTGTCTTAATTGTGTTTTACAGTTTTTTCTCCAAATTACGGCGAAAGTAATGGCAGGTCGAAAACATACGTCGCTTCAAGAGAAAGCTTCAACTAACATAGATGTAAGGTAATATACGTGTCGAGTATAAATATGATTGTTTGGTAGACATGAATAAGGTTATACGAAGTAGTATGAACATCATTGACCCACTATCATAATCCCGGAGCTCTGAAATACATAATGTTTGTAACTTTAATCGTACAATGACCTCGGTGGTGCAGCAGTTTAACACGCTGCCCCACCTTCCGATGGTTGCTGGTTCGCACCCCGCAAAATAAACATTTGAATTAATAAGTGTTCGTTGTATTGGTCTGAATGTTTCTTTGTGTGTATATTATTATACAAAAAAAAATGTATCTCAGTACGTCGATCAGTTGTTTAGTATTCATAACATAAGCTGTGATTAGTTTCGTACGAGATCACACTATAATGTGTCCAGTGGTATTTATTATTACTTATTGATAAGTATTTCTAAACATTATTAAGACCATTGACTATTAACATGTCAAAGAAAATAATATAATTGTTATTAATAATATAAAGCTTACGCCTATTCCATTCGGGCTAGGCAGAGGCTATAAATTATAAAATTATAAATACGAGTTCAATTTATAATATTTATTAAAAATTTAAGTGAGCTCCGAGTATAAAAAAGGCATATAATTAACGCCATAAACCTTCCATGCTGCTTAAATGGTGCAACAGCTTCATGGTTCGCCTAATAGGGTCATCTATGATAATGCGAATGTTGAAAATTTAAAATAATGCTTTTTCAGATTGTACCTTCATTAAATGTAACTGTTACCATAGGTGACTTGTGTGTAAGTTTTAAAAACTTCACTCCGATATTTTAATAGATTCGATTAATAGTTAGCTAGCAAACTATAACTGTCTGTAATGTTCTCTTTCGAACTTCAGTTCAATGACTATTTTTTTTTTTTATATTTTGCAATTATTATGAGATTACCTTAATAATACTTATTTGAATATATAATTATATATATATACAACAATTATTAATTATTAAATTTTTGGACAATTAAAAATTATGTTCCGCCTAGAATGACAATGTACCTACAAAACGGGTCACATAACGTCATAGTCGTAGAATACTGACGGATCTGACGAATATTACATATAAAGACCCGTCAGTATTCTACGGCTATGATGATATAGTAAATAGAGGTGCTCATCCATGAATTTGACATCAATATAAATATTGAAAAATACATTCCCTCCTAAAGTCTCTCTCAATATTAGATAGCAGTAACAAAACCTGGATAATTAGTATCAATAATACCAAACTGATATTGTATAAGTTGCAGCAAATGAGTCACTGTGGTGACAATTTGTAAGAAAACAATATGAATTCCAGTTATGTGCAGAGCCCGATCTAGGTAAAGGGCAAGCCGGGCAATTGCCCTCACTTCTGCCGTTGTGGAAAGAAATGGGACAGCAAAATTGAGATCGAGACGGCTGACCGTAGAAAAGTGTGAGCACTCCATCTATCACATGCGTACTCACGTCTTTGTATGAAGTTTTCCTTAGTCCTCAGGCATGGCAACGCATGGGGGGTGTCATGGGCGAAACAGTATACGCTGTTATGTCCATGGTACTGCTTATGTCTATAGGCGACGGTTACCACTTTCCATTAGGTGGGCCATCAGCTTGTTTGCTATTCTAAATAGTATAAAAAAAAGTTATTCGTCGTCATTGTGGTTACATTTACAAGGCGTTAAAGACAGTACTATATATGCTCGGAGCGGCAAAATAACTAGATCGGGCCCTGCTTATATGAAAAATCGATAAAATAGGAACTAATCAAACAATAGTAGGTAATAAAGCTTCATATAATTACATTTTTATAGCCAATTGAGAAAAAGTGTAATTTGCAGGAATTTGTTCATAATGATACGATTTTCAGGTATCCCCTGTTCTAATATTCACTACACATATAAATATTCTATTTGCACCAAACATAGGTACATAAGATTACCTTTTATATTAAAAATTACTATGGTAATATTATATATTGTTTTAAATGTTATGCCACGTCAGTGTTTTAATAATTGGATCGACATTATCAAAATTGCATTTTATATTAATAAATTTCTGTAAGTATAATACTTATGTTTTTTTTCTAACAAAATTTTGTGTATTTGTCTATGGTCATGTTTAAAATTAAACAATGATAATTCATCGATGTAGGTATGTATTTTTATTTAGAACTAACATTCAAAATTGTTTTTTTATTACGTGTAGGCCTATTAGAATCACATCAAATTATTGTACAATAATATGTAGGTAAAAATATAAATCTGTAACGCTCAGCCGTAGTGATCTAGTATAAACCATACCTACAGTCTACAAGTGGGGATCCGTTCACGAGTATGACGTTTGTATCGGAAAAACTGTTAATTCAATTTTGTTTTCACTTAATCAACAGTCATGAAAATTAACAAGCTCCTGCATGAATATAATAAATAAAATTATTGGTATCTACATATAACTATTAAATAAAAACTTGCCTCTTAGATTAATTTTTAATGATCATTAAAAATTTTGCAATTTGACAACAATGTACCTACCTATATTTTTTACTAAATTAGAAATGATTTTAATTAATTTAATTATAAAATCCATACTGGCTTTAGTTTTGTGTATTAAAAATTATGACATACCTACTATAAAATCTGAAAGAACTGTGATGCCAAAATATAAAGAAGTTTATGTGTAAAGTTAAAACTTTTGTTAATTTATTGATAGAGTCTATGTTTGCTCTATTTATTGCTTTTAGTGAGTAATAAATAAATTATTAAAATGCATTTTTTGTTTTATTTCAAGTATAATTACTTATTTGTAAGCAGTGACTGGGACAGCCTATATTAATTATATGTACTCCAACTTTCTATGATTTTAGTTCTATAAACTTACTAAATTATAAAGTATATATTTATATATTATTATTTAGAGTAAAATATCTGATAATGAATGTAGAAAGTTCTAGTAATCTGTCCTAATGACACTATCGAAGGCAGAAAATATTTTCAACAAGAAATTTACTGAGATGCAGATATGAAATATCGCGGCCTATAAATAAGTACCTATCTACAAATAAGTTTTGTTTATAATACATTATATTAGGCGTTAACTGTCCACTGCTAAACATAGTTTCACCCATAGGGTGAGGGGTGGAGGGGGGGTTGCTAGTAGTTGCCATTTGGTAAGCGGATTGGCAGTTTGGTTTTGTTGTAAGTTTTTAAAGGAACGCTGCTGAGCTAAATTAGAAAAGTTCATTTTATAAATTTGGCTGACCGGGCCGACGAATCAGAGACTGCATGCAAAATAGCGTACAAATAAATGCGCCTTGAATGCCACCATAATTATTTAATACAATTTTAAATTCTATACTCATTACTTACAACTTATATTGAAATATTTCCATAAATATCGTTCGTGTGACAAAATAAATATATAAAAATAATGTAGTAGAAACTCAACACACATATTTTTTAATTTGATTTAAAAAATCAGGCTTTAAGGGTTAAATGTTTCCATAAATATCGTTCGTGTGACAAATGTAGTAGAAACTAGAAAAAATAAAACGGCTTAGATAATTCTTGTTATTAGTTTATTATATTTCATGATTCCTGACATTCATTTTAATTTCGATTCTATCAAAACATCAGATGTATTTGGTAAGCACAGCACCTTATCATTAGTTCACTAAATGGAATGTCTTCCCTACGATATACTAAGGCACTTATTTGTGTACATCAAGTTATTTGTTATCACAATGTGCATGTGCACCGTCGTTTATTTGTCAATTGCAACTTGCCAGTGACAGAGATTACTGAGAAAACTTACCGATTACTTAATGCATAGAGTTACAGTTTAGATGCATAAGGGATAGAAATATAAAAAAATACTATTCAAAAATACAAAATATTAAGTAAAAAAAAAAAGGAATATAATAAATATTTTATTTTATTAAAATAGTAAAACATAACAAGTGACAATCTAGACAAGTGTGACAAACGAATATATGTACCGATAAAATTGTTTCGGTTAGCACTCGCATGAGGAAGAATGAGACACCGGACGTCGCAGTCTTATTCTATCTCACGGACTCGCTAGCGATAACGACTCTATCGATAGACTCCGATGCCACTTGTTTAGGGATCTGGATATGTTCATAATATTAAAAATCCTTGAGAGTTAATATTAATTTACAATTAGAGAAAGTAAATTATCATTTAATTTGTATGCACCAATTTAGACAATTTAATATATATTTTTTTATATTTATAAATGAAATATTTACGATGTGAATAGTAAATCTGTAATTAGTGTAAGTAAATCTGTTCGAATCGAATTCATGACGGATGTAACGAATATGTATATACATATGTATGAATAAATAAAAAAAAACTTTATTAATATCACTATTTAAATTACCAAGCTGTTGCATAACTCAAATGATGACTGTCAATTAATGATTAATATGAATCCCAATGTATACTGGCAATGTTGCAATTAAAATAACGACGTTAATACTCGTAATTCTACTTAACTAGATAACGTGTAAATATAATTATTATAATCTGAATACAATTGTATAAAAGAGAAATATAAATGTAAAAACACATTAGAAAATAGGATACAAATTCTTATATAAAAAATACACTGAACAATACGTGTATAGTTTGTCCACGATAACATGGCACGTCCCTTCAATTCAAAGAAATAAATATAAAAATATTAACAAGGTTTCCAACAAGGTTTATAATACTCCTCTGGCCGGACCGTTACTGGAGACGTTTCTTCACAAATAGGGTACCACGTCTATATATGGTCACACGTATTCGAAGTAAAAATGTAGGAGAGGCGTGCCATGTTAATATAGACAATCTATACAATATTTGATTATGTTGTGAATAAAAATAATACAGTCATGCGAAAATAAAAAAAAAAAAACGCATAGGGAAGCAAATTCGGCATAGTATACAAAATTATATAAGAAAATACCTTATGGAAAATACTATCGACAATAATAGCAGATTAATAAAAATGAAAAATATATTTTATTTTTATACCACTTAAGTGGTGTCTCGTTTAATGGTAAACTTTTCACGTAGCCTTATTAAGAGGATTTACACCGTCACTTACCGATGTTTGGAAACATCGGAGTTATCTGTCAATTTTAAAACAATTTCACAATTTTCAATATACCTACTTGATTGATTATTTAAAATGTTCCCGATAGTAAACTAGAACGTTTACTGTAGAATAAGTTACAGATAAACTCACCACGAAAAATTTTGAATGTCAGTATGTTCATGTCAGTATTTCGAAAATTCCAATACAACTACGAGGCAATCGCATAATTTTTTTTTTATCCCCAAGACATCATAAGAGACGACAATAAATTTTGCACCAGTGCTGGTGCATAATTTATTGTCCGTATATCGACTGACCCATGCTGTAATAGCAGGCTAATATGCTCCTCTAGATGGGAGATTCGTGCCCAGCAGTGGGACGTTAATAGATCGTTATATAATAATTGAGAATCATACAAATTTTGGCTCTGGACTAAGATAGACCAGAGTTGCCAGACTTTATCACCTTCTGATTCAAATTCGAAGAGCCTTTAAAAGACATTTACAACTAGAGAAGTGGTGTCGGTAGACACGTTTTCGTTAGCGTGATGAAATGCATGAGAAAGAACAAAACGCCTGATATTGCTGTCTCTTTCTGTCGCATGCACAGAAGTTTTAACGTATCTATGAATATTCATTTACTACTTATTTAGGTGTTTTGATCAGATACTGTCTGAGAATCAAGCCTGGAATATTATTATCCTATATATAACTGCAACTTACTATCCGCTTAAAGCTGCAAACAGCCAATAAATTTGAGTGCACATTTTGCGGAAGAAAATTGAAATAATTTCGACCATTTATTAGCCACTCTTGTCCCAATAAACTATCACTAGGAACAGTTCTAAACCATCAACAAGCCAATTCAATTAGTCAATTAATTAATACCATACAATCTACATACATTTGAGATGGTCGCTCCGTCTACTTTAACTGTACAATTAATGAATCGTCCATTTTTACTTATATCACATTTTAATAAATCATATAACATTCATAAGATATACACGGCTTAAAGGTTGGGCGCAATGGGTATACAAAGTCAAAATTATTTTCGAATGTTTCATACCAAATGAGAGTAACCGGAGGGTTTGTATAAAATATTTCATACAAAGCCATTTCTCTTTTTTTTTTCTAATTTTTCTCTTTTCAACTATAGGCATGTCCTTAGGACTTCCTTGAAGCAAATTGTTCCGTTATTACAAATATTTAGTATACCCATTACGATGAAGGCCGTAGTTATTCTTTATTTATACTATAAACATAATAATGTATAAAAAAAAACCTAACACATATGGAAGATGGTTCCTTCTCATAAGATTGAAGTCATAATCGATTTAATAATTTACATATAATTAAAAAAAGAACAATTTTTTTTTATATACAACAGGATAAAATATACTTTGATACTTGTATTAGTTATTTTCAATATACATAATTATTGCAGTTAATTCTATAAAATTAAGACGTGCCTCTTATATTTAGTTTTATTTCAGTGTCGTCCCTCGATGCTGTATCGGCGGTGTCAAATCAATGTAAAAAAAAAAACTTAATAACTAAGACAAAAAATATGGCATCGATTTAAATACTTCGATACTGTCTCAGCTTTGAGTCAGACTAGAATCTGAAGTAGTCCCACTTTCTTTGTCAAATTTGACTACGCTATCGCAGTCCAAGTAATCCATGTCGGTCAATTGTCTTTTGATCATCAGATGGGGGGTTTTCCTTACCTTCTTCTCCTTCAAAAACTTGGGTATCATTTGCTTTCCCTCCATCAGAAATTCTATTATAACTCTCTCGAAGAACAGAGCTATCACGAACTGGAACGCGGCAATCGCTAAAATGATGTACGAGAGGAGCGCATCCTTCGGCATCCTAAGCTGGAGGAAAGTGGCCAACCACTGCGCAGGCGCAACGGTAATATATACACATATACCGGTCATTATTAGAATACTGATCATGAGCTGCTTGTTCGTGACCACCGACTTCCTGTACGGGGATCCGCGGCTGAACACTATAGCTAGAATTATATACTGAAACATTGATACCGCATAGATGGCGTAGTTCTCCCAGCACTCGTTCGCTTCGTCTCCCTCGTACAAGTGCCTTTCGTACCAGGGAAATAGAGTCAGCGCGTAGTAACTCAGGTACTGAGCCACTCCGATCAGCGCCAGCTGACCGACCAGCGACAGCAGCGGTACCAGTCCCAGCAGCGACGTGAGGGGCGGTACGCGGCACAGCTTGCCCGTGTACGCCTCGGTCATGCCGAAGAAGAACGCGAAGTTGACGATGAGCGCGACGTCTATGTACAGAAACTGGAAATCGGTGAGGTTCGAGTCGAAGTAGTAGAGGAAGGCGACGGAGAAGAACTCGGTGAGGGAGTAGGCGATCATGAACTTGAAGACGCCGAAGGAGGTGGCGAGGGCGGCGCGGCCCTCGCGCAGCACGCGCGCCACGCACACGACGTCGGCCGCCGCCGCCGTGAACGGCGCCGCCACGCTGCTCTCCAGCTGCGACAGCGACACGCCCGCGTGCGCCGCGCGCAGCGCGCCGCAGTCGTTGGCGCCGTCGCCGCACATGCCTGCCCACATTCGCTACTTTTTAATGGCTCATAATGGAATGGCAACCTCGCCTGCACTATCGGTGTACCCTGGCGAAGTCTCCATGAAGAGTGACAGATGAGAATAGTAGCAGGTAAGTTAGCTCATCGTGACGAATCCGATAAGAATCAACCACGATTGTTCCAGAGAGAACCACGTGAAGATCGACCTTACAGGGTATATTGCTAACAATGAGAGTATTAAATCCCCTTACTAATAATACCTTTGCCTTCAATATTTTTACTCCGAACTGGAACAGGAGGGCCTTGTAAGTTTAAGTTCTATATCTGTATTTTATCTGTGGCATCAGATCCAAACGGTTGAACCAATTTTGATGTGTGGGATAAGAATTGTTAGTAATGGAGAATACGTCAGTTGGCCCATCGTGCAGTCAGCACAATGAGCCAATTGGCCTATCATCTCCAACTGGTACCCTGTCAGCGTATACCAATAGTACAGGCGAAGCCACCAAATCATTATCATCTCTAAAGAAGTCATTGACGTTCTAAAGCCTCAACAAAAAATCTCTAGAAAAACCAATTTAATTTTAAATTATCATGCGTTTTAGCTAGAAAATCTGCTCAGCCATTTGAGAATCATCAGCGATATTTTGATCAATGAAGGAAGGTGAGCAACTTGGAAGGTGTGTATAGACGTACCGACGTAGTATCCCAGCGCCTGGTACTCAATGATCAGCTGCTGCTTCTGGTCGGAGGACATACGGGCGAAAACTGCACCGCGCTCCACCACGCGACCCACCATGTGCGGGTAATGTTCACGCAGCACCTGAACACACAGATATTGTTATTCTCCATTTCCAATAAAACACATAGCAATGTAACATATTTTACAACACATGTTGGTGGCCGTGTGGTCCCGGCATAGCATAGGCCACCCCTTCCTATCCCGTGGGTGTCGTAAGAACCGACTAAGAGAGGGTGAGGGATGGGCAGCAAGGTTCCTTTTAAAACATCTCTAAAGCCTGACTGTGGTTGCCAATCCGCCTGCCAAGTGTGGCAACCAAAACCCCCTAAAACTGATATGATGATGATGATGAAGTTGGTGGACGGATGTGGAGATATCTACACAATAAGAAAGTTTTACGGAGAAAATTCTTTTAGTTTCTCATCATTGCTTTGCTTATTCCCATTTATTTGGGGTCGGCGCAGTATCTCTTCTTGTTCCACAAATCCCTGTCAATTGTCATTTTGGGGCTCACTTCTTTTTTATGTATATCATTTTTCACACAGTCCGTCCACCTTTTCTTTAATCATCTCCTTCTTTTACAGCCATCTACTTTCATACTTAACACTTTCTGTCAGTTACTACATGTATAAATTCATATTTTTTTTTTCAAAATTTTTCGTTTATTATGGGGGGTTCCTCCTGTATCCCAATAACTTAAGCATTTTAAACTCTAACTTTTAAGTTATTGTATTCTTAATTTCGCATAGCGAGGTCTACAGACCCTTAGCTATTGTTTAGTTTCATGAACACTACAATTGAGTTTCAGTTTGATGTCTACACGACTTAAACTAACACCACACACAAGGTATCTTCGGTCACGTATGCGGTGCTAAACTAATACTATATCTAACATAATTCTGAAGCGAACGACTTACCCGCCACGCATCCCCCGTCATGACGATCTTGTACCGCGGCTCGGCGGGCGGCGACTCGACATCAAGCGAGACCGAGCCCGAGCCCGAGCGCGAGCCCGAGCCCGAGCCGCGCCACGAGCCGTGCCCGCTGTCCACGCTGCGCCACTCCCGTTGCAACGGCGTTCGACGACCTACTGGCGCCTAAACGCGAAGAACAGGGGGGAAAGGGATTGTTAATAATGGAGACTGAGAATCCCATTGTTAGCAATATACCTAACTAGGTCGACCTTCACGCGGTTCCCCTAAAAACTATCATGGTTAATTCCTGATGAATTCATTATGATGGGCTAACTGGCCTGTTTTCATTTTCATCGATCACCCTTCACTGGTGCTCTGCCAGCGTATACCGTTTGCGCAGGCGGGGTTACCATTCCATTTTCACTTATCACACACGAAGAAAATTTAGATTATGTGTTTCTTACAAAATTTTTAAATAGACTTGTTTACTAGATATGCTTCTTCCACTAGAACGGTAGTAGTCATTACATAGTATGTTCAAGGGCTGGTGTCATCCGTCTTACAATGCTCTATGGAGGCTTTGGGTGAAACGATGATAGGAACAAATGGAATTGACCGTTTTTTCGTAACAACGAAACGTTCGAATCGAATACAGTCGCATGTATAAAAGATAATATAAAATACATACCCCATGAACAAAACTCTGGCAGTAAAGTAACGACGCCTTAGTGCCGTCCACGGTCACGTGTACGACGCGCTCGCCGGCGTTCAGTATGCCACACTCTTTGGCCACGCTCACCGCCGTATGAATGTTGTCGCCTATTCACCATACAAATATTATACGTAAGGAATAAGGTAATAATGATTATCATGTAGGCGTACCACAAGGATCGATTCTGGGACCTACATGATTATTTATCAATACTTATAATAAAATCGCAACTGGTCGCTGTCTGTACATGGAAGACAGATAAGAAAAATTATTATAGGAGGTTTTATGAATGTAATAGAATCCAAAATAATGATTTTTTGAATTTTTGTCAGTGTGTCTGTTTATCTGTACATTTATGCACGCTAATCTCAGAAAAGGCTTAACCGATTTAAATACGGTTTTCACTAATGGTTTGCAGTGTGCTCCATTTAACATTTAGTGTTCGTTTTATTATATTTCAATTGGTTCATAAATGAAAAAGTTATATCAATCTAAAGAATCACATATAAAATGCTATAAAATAACCGATTAGTTGAATTTTTTTTTTATTATACATATTGATTTTCGAAAATTCAGTCTACTTGTGCGAAGCCAGGTCGAATAGCTAGTACTAAATATTAATATTTATTGTTGTACAAACCAAACTAAATAACTAACTAAACTGACAGTCAATTTGGCTGTTCTGTATTTAATATTGTAGTAGAATTAAACTCTGCCAGCATATGGAGAATAAAAAAATTACATGCCTGTAATCATGACGACCTGTATGTTGGCCTCTTTCAATTCCCTGATAATATCGGTGGTGGCTGCCTTTAGCCGGTTCTCCATTATCACCAGCCCCAGAAACTCAAGGTCACGTTCAACCTGTAATATAAAACAATTCAAACGAATTGAGAACTTGCTTAATTTTTAATTCATTTACAAACATAATAGGTGCCGAACAATTAAACCAATTATCTGGTTCTCAAGCTGAAATTCCATGTTTTGAAAAAATTGGTATTGTATATTCGGGGGTAAACCAGAATACCCAGACTCGAATTTATTTAGAAAGGTTTATTCCCTAAATTGACCCAACATCATTAAAAGTGAACAAGTTGTAATGTAATATTTTTTTTTATAATTGATTTATCATATCAGCCGTTAACTGCCCACTGCTGAACATAGCCCACCTTTATAAGGGAGGTTTTGCCAGTAGCTGCCACGCTTGGCAAGTGAGTTGGCAACTGCAGGCTTTTAGTAATATTTTATAAAGGACACTGCTGCTTATCCCTAGACCATAAGTAAAACTATATTTTTTTACAGTACTGTTCTATTCTCTATAAATCCATAGTTACCTCATCCCTGTTCATCCTTTGCAACTGCTTGAAGGTGGTTTCCATGATACGGGTGGACATCGCAATCACACGGTAGCCCTTCTCTGCGTACGAGCTTAGTACCTCGTTTAGATTATCAGGGACTGTATATCAAACAAACAATAGAAAAATAAAGTCACAACTATAAATGACAGATATAATAGTAGCAGAGGTAATTTGTCGGCTGGTTTAATGTAATGTAGGACATATGTACATTTCATGCAATTATTTGTAGTTGTAGCAGAATTCGAGTTTAAGGTCCTTTCTGGAGTACATTTGGTTTGCTAACAGCATTATACATCACTGAAGAGTTAGTCGAATTAAACTAAGTTTTTTGGTGTCCGCCTAACTAGGTCCGAACTAATGACCTTTGGGGTTCCTAAGTATGCTATGCTTACTGGCCCTTCTATGCCAGTATTTAAATAGATAAAGAATACAAATTTGAAGATAGTATATGAAGTAAGAATGAGTGCAAATGTCGGTAGGGACCGTCCTAGGTTATGGCACTTTAATGGCTCAACCAATCGTCGTGAAATTTTGCACACGTGTAGTAGTTGGGAGTAGTGGAATATGGAGAGCATAAGCTACATTTTATCCTGGACAATCAATACATGTAATTTCAGTCACGTGAACCTTGTCGTAGGTAAAATAGACTAGAATAAAAGGAGGAGCGACAACACTCACCAGTTTCAGGCTTGCAGAGTGTGGTGAGCATCTCCGGAGCACCCTTGCAGTAGACCCTCAGCACATCCTCGCCTAGCATTCTCACCACGACGGAGGCGCGCTGCAGCGATGACACGAACTGGTGTTGCTGCACTATGCCCAGCTCGAGCGGTAACTAGTACAAGAATAACAAATTTTCAACCGACTATAAAAAGAAAGAAGTTCTTATAATAAAAATAATAGCTTCTTGTTTAAGATAATAAAGAAACTTGTTCAGTAGAATTTATATTTGTTTCCTCTGGCATTTAGATTTATTTATTTATTCTTTATTGAACAATAAAACTTTGTACAAGTGGCGAGCTCAATGCCATATTGCATTCTCTACCAGCTAACCATTAGGTAAAAACAGAAAGCGTATGAAGGGCAGATGTGGTGAAAAATATGTGACATAATTATAGGAACATACTGAAATTAAACATTTTACTTAGATTATAAGTAAGCATTAAATAATAAAAAATATTTACGTGTATGTCATCTACGTTGATGTTGGCCGACTTCCTGGGTCGCACGATGGTCGGCGTGAGTATGTCGTAGTTGGCTGGCTCCGGCACGTCCGGCTCCTCTAGCTCCCAGCCGGTCGATTCGAACATCTAACATGTTAAATAGTTATGAATAATTAAATTAATTAAAAGAATGCACCACATATTAGAGTATTACTACACACTAGCTATATCCCGCGGCTTCACCCGCATGCATGAGTACATAAAGTATCCTATATACTAAATTAGTAAGTAATACCTATCTATTTTATATACCAATTTTCATTTATTTTCGTTCAGAAGACTATACAAACTTTTGCATTTATAATATTAATTGAGAATAGGACTATGCTAATGGATAAATATTTATTTATTTAACTCTTTATTGCACCAAAAACAAAATATTGTTATGAAGAGTAAATAAATTTTAGTGTTTTATGTATACTTTAAATTTTTTTTCATTTCTAAATTATGGAATGCACTTAATGAAATATAAAGAAATGAGAAGTATAATTTTTTTTTCTGTAATATATGGATGGCAGAGTAGATCAACAAAATGCAACAAAAGTTGGTTTTAAATTTTACTATTTAGCCCAGTATAACTCCTTAAGTTTAAAATGCTTTGTAATTTTTGACACGGAAACTGCTTGCCGTTTCGCTGCTTGTCGCTACTATCTAATTAACTACTGATCGTTTTTAAGCATATGAACATTTTTGGAAATTATTTTTGTAATGGATAAACTATTATTTAATTGATACCTTCAAATCCAGTGGATCCCCGGCTATTTCCCCATCGAGCAGCGTGAGGCTGTGGCAGCAGGCCATGCCCATTTTGAGGTCGTGGAGGTCGTTGAACTGGCGAGGGTCCCGCTGCGGCCTCCCTAACCTGGGCGGTGAAGTGGCGCCACTCACCGCCACCACGCCCCACATGTCCAACCCGTCTTCGGTCAGAGTGCCTGTCTGTGGACCATCACCATCATCTATTGTATCTATAGATTGTATCCTTTTAATTTCTATGTAAATCTTTCATCATCAGATCATTTATTTTTGTTTTATCTCTTTCCATGGGTAGATAGATAGATAATTCATTTGCATCACAGCACACAAATAACATTAAATATTGATACATAGTTAAAAAGAGAAATAAAACAAAATATATACAAAAAAAAAATACAAAAAGAATGTACAGAAAAGAGGTAACAAAATTTTTCGTGAATGTGCCACAGTAACACAAACTAAGTGGATAGAGAATAGGCCAAATACTATAGTTTTATAACCTCTGGTTACAGGTCAGTTTGAGGCTTCATCGAGAAGCTATTGACGTTAATAGTCACGCGACGCACCTCGTCGATGTACCTCGTCAAACAGGTGCACTCGAGCAAATTTCTTACTTCACGGCGAGTGAGTTTTATCTTGTCGAAACAAACGCAGTTAGGCAAGTCAATGATGTCGTAGCAAGCGAGCTGTATCTTGCCGAGTCAGATGTAATATAGGCATGTATAATGTAGGTAATATGTTTGTTTTTTAATTATTGTATTAATTTAACATTGTTTATTATGTTGCATCGTAAATTATATTTTCTGTTTTTCCTGTCTACAGTCGATTGATAGGTAACGTCATATGATTTTTTAAGTCCGCCATTTATAATTTCTAGGTGTATTAAAATTTGATAAAAAAAAAAGTAGTCGAGGAAGCCGCTAACGTGAACGCGAACTACACTGTACTTTCTACAGAGTACAGCAAGTGAGCTGTACCTTGTCGAAGCAGACGCAGTCGAGCGAGCCGCTGACGTTAACAGCGCGGGTGTTGAGGCAGGTGACGCGCGCGCGCTGCAGGCGCGACACCGCGTACAGGCGGCCGACTGTCATGGCGGCGGGCAACGCCGGCGGGATCACGATCGTGATGATGTCCAGCGCCTTAATGGCGATGTCGCCTGGACTCAACGAGCGGTAAGCCTGCATATAAAGAAGATGCTTTTTAAATCCAAAAAGTACTAGGTTTCAGTATGGCTACATGACGAATAATAAACAGGGATAAATGATTCATGATAGAAACCTTTCGAAGTCAATATCCAATGTACCAGTTCTTCAGAATATCTATTTTCAAATCCACTCACTTTCTCTCTTAGTATACATCCCTCTACTTCTATGTCTACTTCAACTGACATCTCGTATGATGAACTAGACAATGGTTCATCTGTTCATTAGTTAGAAACAATATGCAAATGTGGCTTTTCCGAGCGGCATATTTGAAACCAATACACTCTGGTCACACAAAACTAGAACTTAAACAGTTGCATAAGACTTCATTTTTATAATTGGTATAATGAGACGTACATATAGTGTTTAAAAAAATCTTAAAAATAATATGGCAATAACAATAATGAGGTTAGAAACTTATAATTAAAGAGGTTATGACTTATTAAAAAAAAAAAAACTTTTTTTATACCACGAATGTAGTAAACAAATATACAACCCATCAGTTGATAAACGATCACACTGTAGCTTATAGTCGCCTGCAACACCAGGGATGACAACCCTGAAGAGACCTTAATACACTATTTTGGAAGAACCTCACACTTGTTATAGTAGATACCTATCAAGTATTACGACACAACCTCAACGGCGATCGGATCGGACCACCTAGTATGACGCAAGGAGGTGCGCTACCGAGAAAGACACCTGCGTCGAGTCAGCATTTCAATTCCCGCAGCAAAAATACCCATTTCCTTCATGTTTGATTTTATATAACTTCACTTACGGATCACACATCGATCTGAAAACACTTATTATTGTAATAATTAATTTTAGAATTAAATTTAGTTATGTTTATAAAATTAGTTTTTTTTTTTTGGGTCTTCCGCCAGCGACATCAATAACTCACTGTACTCTCTAAGGAAAATTTCGACTCATACCTCATCTTATAAGATGATAAATAAATAAGGTATTACCTTTAAAGCGATGGTATAACCGAGTCCGAGTGTGGCGATGAAGGCAAGTATAATAATGAACTTGTATGAGTCCCGGTCGAACTTGAAGTCCGCCGGCACTGGGTACAGGATACTGCGGACTAGCTGGCCCTTGCTCGTGTTGTAACCGGTCCGTAATACTAACGCTCTGAGGACAATGTATCAATTGCCTTATAAACTACTAGTAAAGGGAAGTTAATGGTCGTCGAGGGATGGGCAGGATAGGCTTCTTAAAACATTTTTTTTTTTATAAAACTTAGAATGGCAAACCAACTGACGGCCCACCTGATGGAAAGTGGTAACCGTCGCCTATAGACATGAGCAGTACCATGGACATAACAGAGTATACTGTTTCGCCCATGATACCCCCCATGCGTTGCCATTCCTGAGGGCTCAGGTGTTATTCCTCTGTTCGCAGTAAATTCACGCCATATCCCACCCTAAGAAAAACATCACCAAAGCCTAACTGCAATTGACTAGCGTGGCAACTACCGGCAAAACCCCCCTTATAGGGGAGGCCTATATTCAGCAATGGACAGGTAATAGCTGATATGATGACACTGTCACCTGTACAGATTTTTTTATAGTTGTGGCAAGAATGAATCGCAACGTTTGTAATAAAATGTCCAGGGTGCTATATTAGTAAGGTTTGTACTGACTTGACAGGCTCGTTGTTGTAGTAACGCGTCTGTATGACCCTGGTGCCGCAGAACAGGATGCTCGACGCATGCTCTTTCATGTCGAATGGCTTGTCCACACGCAGCAGAGCGGTCTTGGTCACTGGCACTGATTCACCTGTAAACAGCATAAGATAAATTAAAAATAATAGACGATTACATTGATTCCAGGACTTTACCTACACGGAACTCGGTATTTCCCCGTTTCCATAGTTATTTAAAAAGAGAAAACTTGTCAAAGTTTATCTGCAACAATTTTCAATTTTTTCACCACATCTCTGTTTTGCCAAAGATTGACTGGTAGAGAATTATATATAGTATTGTCCGCCTTTTGTACCAGACATTTTTTTTTGGAATGTGTTCAATAAAGAATAAATAAATAAATAAAATAAAATTAACAAAGTGTATGCCTACGATAACAAAGGAAAGGTGTAAAGGAAAGTATAGGTGGTACGTCATGACGAATTCATCAAGAGTTTAATAAATAAATAACAGGTATAAATATCAAAAACAGACAGTGCAGCAAAAGGATTTATGTAAGTAGATAGAGAATCACGACTGTCTTATACAAAACTACATGGAGATTAACTTAACCTAAAAATACCTTATTTATGCTTTGCAATGGTGCTGGTACTCCTTATTATTAACAATATCCTATATCTTCCGTTTGAGGGACGACACCCATTACTCGACAGTGAAGCAAACATAGTGGGTAATTCCTGGTGAATTAGTCACTGTGGGTCAACTGGCCTGACTCCAGCCTCACCTATCATCCTCTCTGGTGCTTAACAGCGTAGAGGCGTGATAACCATTCCATTATAGATAAAAACCAGCAGGGCATACAAGTACCTGTGAGCATGCTCTCGTTGAGGACTGCGGCGCCGGTGAGCAGTACGGCGTCGAAGTGTAGCGTGCAGCCGCGCGGGGGCAGCACCACGACGTCGCCGGGCGCCACCGCGCGGCTGTCCACGCGCCGCCCGTCCCACAGCTGGACTGTATCGTGGGCCTCCACCGTCGCGCGCAGGCTCTGCTGGTTCTAGTGGAACAGTAAATGCTTGTACAACGGCGACAAGTCATCTTAGGAACGCTGGTACTTCAAGTTTTTTTACTGATGATGAAATGGTAATATAATTCAGTGTGAAGAGAAACATTAACCTTAAGCCTCAGAAATGACAATCCATAAAGTGTACCATGGGTGTCATGACATTTTTTGTGAGGCCCATGGGTGTTGATCATTTCTATAAGGAGTTTCAGCATTAGAAAAATCCAGAAAAATTAATTTAATAATTAAATAAAATTGTCAAAACACAACACAAATACAACATGCACGAGCAATAAAAAAAACTTACCTTTTTAGTTTGTATCACAGATGTGGCAACACCAAACGTGGACATCAACACGACGGCCACGCAGTAGTAGTAGTACGGCTCGGCCAGCCACACCGCGATCGTGAACAGTTGGAACACGTAGAAAGGGTTGAAGACCTCGAGCAGTATTAGAGTTAATATCGACTGCACTGGCACTTTGATCTCGTTCAGGCCATAGATGTTCAACCTGGAAGGTATTATTATATTGTGGTCAACAGTACTACTAAGTTTAATGTTAAAGTATCAAAAACAGATTTACAAAGTGACATCGTAGTTTTAATTGTTTTTATTACATACTAACAGATAGAATTGCGAATAATTAGATGTTCGAAATACATTATATTGAAAATATTCTTATTGTGAAAGCGAAATAATGTATGTTTAAGTAAAAAAGTGTAATACGTGCGCAGTACGTATAGTGGATGTACGTGCGTGCGTGCGTGCGTACACATGAACGTGGGTGTATGTGTGTGTCTACAATACAAAGAATACAAGCTGAGTTTTTTATCAGTTCTTCTCATCTCGAAATCATTCCGAACTGACGGTAGATTTGACATAAGTCTGTAATAGATCTACATGAATAGAGATATTTTGAATTTGAACAGTAAACAAACTTTTTCGTAATACACAATTTTTTGCTTCACAGAGAAAAAAATGTTTCAATCGTCATAAAATCGATTTAGGAACAAAAGGGGAGTAAACTCTGTTATATTGATTAAATGCAACTACTGAATCTGTATCGATCTCTAGCAACTAAATCTCGTAACGCTACAAGAATGTTCAAACGAATTGAGAATCTCATCCTTTTGAAACTTTTTTTTTACAACACAGGGGGCAAACGAGCATGCGGCTCACCTGATAGTAAGTGACTACCGCCGCCCATGGTCACCCACAACACGTACGGCATTGCAGGTGTGCTGCCGGTCTTTTTGCCTACAACTGCCTATCCAGATATGTGATTAACGTTTGATTTTCTTGGAAATGATCATAGCGGCGGTGTGGTACTGACATGCGCGCGCGGCGGTCGCTGGACGGCGGCCGCGCAGCGCGCGCGTGCAGCTGCGCGCAGCTGGCGCCCGCGTCGGCGCCCGCCAGCCGCCGCCACGCGCCGCGCGACCGCTCCCACACCAGCGTCTGCTTCTTGTGTCGGAAGTACCGGTACCGCTGCACGTCTGCACGTGGCCACGCCATTCGTACTTTTAATTCAATGTCATTGTAATATCCAAGTGGTTCTCAGTACCACCGACCTATGGGACTAGCAACCCTACATACATACATATCTGTCACGCCTGTCGCCCATTAGGGTAGGCAGAAACAATGGAACGCCAATGCTTCGATTCAAACAAACCTCTTTCGCTCCTTCCACATTCATCAATCTTTTCATACTGTTCGCCGGTTACGGGTACTTTTAACTTGGCCCTTTTTCAGCGCGTCGCCTATTTGGTCGACATACGTCCGTCTAGAGCGGCCTCTACCGACATCTCCATTCATTCTTGCTCGATAAATCTCTTTCGTAATTCTTCTTTCATCCATTCTCTCCAAATGGCTAACCCAACACAAATTCCTTTTTCGATTTTTGTCACTACATCGTGTTTCAGTCCACACTTCTCTCAGCCACACTTCTAGCAACCCTATTGTTATCAATTTAGATTGCCAGATCTACCTACACGCGATTAGTTAAGCCATTAAAGTACTATGAAGTAACAAACAAACTTACAGTTACATTTATAAGTAAAGATTTGGATTGACTATTTGCAATCTACTATCTCATGTGTCTCATTTGAGTGCTCATTGCTTTAACTGATTTAAAAAAAAAACAGGTTATACATTTCAAATCGTAAATAACAAATTAACGATATATATATATATATATATATATATATATATATATATATATATATATATATATATATATATATATATATATATAGTACACATACCCAGTACTGAGCCATCGTCAAGGTGTAACGGTGTATGTATTGCGTCGGCGCTCTCGATTGGTTCCTTTTCTCGACCGACCTCATCCTGGAAGCCCTCGTTGAACAAACCGCTACGATAAAATAAAACAATTTAAAATTATGTTCTAGAAAAAAAACGACTTCAATTGTGGGAAAGCTAATTATTTTGATTTACAAACTAAACTACTGAACCGATTTTGATAAAATCACTTTTATTGACTAATCTGTAAGTATATCCTTTCAGATAAACAAATAATTTTCCAAAACGGTTTATTACTGACGATGACCGTAACAAACATAAAAAAAACAACCGACTTGAGAAGCTCCTTCTATTTGAAGTCGGTTAAAAACAATCAATAGGTTAGCTCCGAAAAAAATAATCTTTAATAGATAGATAGATAATTTATTTAAATCACTTACAGCACACAAATAACAATACAAACATACACATAATACAGACATACACAAATAAAAAGGGATAAAAGAATGAAAAACAAAAAATAAAATTACTTTTAATAGTTCAAAAACATTCCTCGCTATCATTTAGCTATTCAGATTATTGTCCAGGGTGTGCCTGGTTTCTTGCAAAAGGTGAATATATGTATTCTCAGAGAAGTCTTTGTCATTACTATATTTTTGTATCAATAATTCCCTTTATCAAAATAGATTACTGAGATATTATGTATCATTTATTTATGTATTAATGTTTTAAGTATGTGAGGTATTTTTAAAATTAGGGTATGATGAGGCTGACATATCCTTATAGGATAAAAGCCTCTAAATAAAAAAGATAAAAAAAAAAGTCTTTGTGCATAACTAAAAGTCTAGCTCTCCTCCTCCTCCCTCTAATAAATCACTGTTTGTCTATGCTATTTGTCTTCGGATCTTAGATTGTTATATTATTACCTTGAAGAGATCGCATTTAACGACAAAAACACCCATTGTTTTCTCAGTGTGATCATTTCTTATAATCGTTTGTATCTATAATAAGTTTATTACTGTAATCTTTTGGATATAACAATAAAGAGTATCTAAATATCTATTATTTTGTTTAAATTCAGAATTTTTTAAATATCTATTATTTTGTTTAAATTCAGATTTTTTTTTTATTTTCGACAAAAGTCGTTTGTTTGAGCACATCTGTCCCATTCGTGTTTCTATCGTGAAGCAGTTGTGTTTGCAAGGTTGTGTTTCGATTTGAAGAGTGGGATATGGTAGTGAATTTACAGGGTACAGAGGAATAACACCTGAGTCCTCAGGAACGGCAACGCATGGAGGTTATCATGGGTAAAACAGTATACTCTATTATATCCATGGCACTGCTCATGTCTATAGGCGACGGTTACCACTTTCCATCAGGTGGGCCGTCAGCTTGTTTGCCATTCTTAGTTGCATAAAAAAAAAACACTCCTCGTTCACCGGCCGTTTATTTAAATATAAAAAAAACACATTAAATGTTACGTTTACTACAACGGCAACATTCAACAAATGCTTCTTACCACTTCATTTACATTACTTACCTTGTGTCTGCTATATTTTTCTCCAATATTTTATGTATATAAAAACTTTTACATTTCTTCTGATATGTCTCCTGTAATAAAAAAAAAAAAAAAACATTCTATAAGAATAAGAATAATTTTTATTCAAATAAACTTAATTATAAGGATTTTTTAATTGTTGTTATATTTTATATTCTACAAATCATCTTACAATATACGTGAAAGTTTGATGAATGGATGGATGCATGATTTTGTTACTGTCTTAAGTAAAAACTACTGAATGAGTTTTTGAATTAAATTTGGTACACGGTTAAATAATACCCTCACTTGGCATATAGGATACTTTATGTACTAATTAATGACGGCGGAGCTGCGGGATACAGCTAGTATTCAATATATTGTAAGACGCCAATTCGTTTATTACCTAGGCCTACATTTACTAACTCCAAATGAATGTGAATTATATATATAAATACATTACACACAATACGGGGATAAAATGAAACTTATGTAATAAGCTAAGTTGTGGTCTAAATGTACACCAGACTTCATCGAAATCCATTAAATAACTAGACTATTTCAACGTAACTTAATGAAAAGATTACTAAGACGTATTGAAATTATCACAGAAACAGTAACGGTAATAACTATCGGTTTAACTTTTATGTAATCACTTTCATGTAATCCTCACATTACAGCCGCTCATGATTAAGATTAAGGCTAGCGAATTGATCTCGAAACTAGTCGAGCTTTCTCGATTTAATTGCATATAATTTAAATCGATAGTTATTATTATACATTAAAATATAATGTATGCTTACGAAACTTTTAACAATAAAAAATATAAATTCATAAATTAAACATTAAATTAATTAATCGTTCTTTCATTTGTACTACTATCAGCTGCTAGTTTTATGGTTGAGTCTTTTTTGTTAATTAATTTGTTAATTTATATTTAACAGAGCAATATGTCCTGAATTATCATATAATTGTTCAGGGCATGCGAAAGGCGTTGGATCGCTGGTTTTTCCTTGTACCGCGATAGTATCATATAATGTTATGGATTCCATGTCGCACAACATGATGCATAATTAGGCAATATCATGTAAGTACCTAACATCGTTGACTAGTGGAGCATAATAATCATTGAGTATCGATTATTAATCGATTAGAACCACAAATAATGTACTAATTGGTAATATAAAGGGGAGGGAGGGATTTTTAGTAATGGAGACTAAGAGCACCATTGCTAGCAATATACCCAATCAGGTCGACCTCCCCGTGGTCGCCCCTGGAAACACTCGTGCTGAATTCCAAGTGTATTCATCACGATGAGCTCATCGACCTGCCTTTTTTCATTCTCATCTATCATCCCTTACTGGTGCCTCGCCAACGTAAACCGTTAGCGCAGGCGGGGTTATTCAACCATTAAAAAAAAATGGTAATATAATGTTATTTATTACACACAATAAAGTGATAATAAAGTACATAATACTGCATATTACATATAAATTAATCGATAACATAGCTAGCTATTGACTAATGCGAGTATATATGTAACTAGATAGTATTGCAGAATTTAAATGAATAAATTTTCATATAACGTCAATTTCGTTAATCAATAATGCCGATAGTCCAATCAATATTTAGTTTTTTTTTTCTGAGGAACACTATCGATTAATCGAACTGATTAATATATCGACAAATCGATTAATAGGCAACACTAGCTTAGACTCCGATGTAGGTACTACCTACACCAATGTGAGTAATCACTGATATTCGTATTACCACAACTCCGTTTAAAATGAACTAATTGTGCCAAATGATAAGAGCTGTGGGATGTTTTATGCTAAATTGTATTTACATATAATCCTAAACTTGCTTGTAAAATTCCATTTGTTTTTAAAGGAATAATAATAAAGTGTTTGACCAATCTCGGTTAAATGTTTGTAATAACTTTAAAAAAATCCCTAACCAACCGTTTTCAAGCAAGCTTACTGAATAACAGCATTTATTTTTTATCTAAATATTATAATAATAAATGAAAGTATACAATATACCTACTTACAATAACTAAAACTTGATCAGCCGACTGGAAGGAGCACCTGACTGATGTTACATATAGGAACCAAGTGGAGCACCAGTGAAATAACAGGAACGGTACACCGCATAATATAGTAGATCCAACATAAACTAATATTGTTCGCCATCGACATCTACGGTAACCATACACCATCTGTGATTAGAAAAATTAAATAATATTATTTTTTAATGCATTTTTCAAACATCTAGGGGCTACTTGTACAAGTTAGATAAAAACATGCTTATGACTATAATCCCTAAAGAGATAATTAGAGACATTAGATATTAGTACTTGTAACAATAGACTGCTGCAATCGTAATACATGGCCACATTTCACCAAGTATATTTGAATCCAATGTGGCAGGGGACAAGCCATTTGTCACTCTGATTAATTTGGTATTTGATATAGGTATTATTACTATATATATATAATCCGCGTTCACATGATCACAGTCCACCGCTTTGTAATATTTGGTCCTTCGAATCGGATATTACGGATGGATATATGTATGTATGTATTTTTGTATTGTTCTTTAAGTAGTGCAATAAAGAGTAAATAAATAAATAAAATTCTTGTACTAAATATGAAAATTATAGATAACACCCAGATCCAAAATAATTCAAACAATATTTCTCATAAATATAAAGTATAATATGTATTGCACCATGTAGGTCCCAGCATAGAGTAGGCCACCCCTTCCTTTCCTGTGGGGGTCATAAGAGACAACTAAAGGAGGTTATGGTGGAAGGATGGGCAGCAACATCCCTTTTAAAATATCACCAAAAGCCAAACTGCAGTTGCTAACCCACCTGCCAAGCTTGGCAACTACTGTCAGAACTCCCCTTAAGGGGGAGACAATGTTCAGAAGTAGATAGTTAATGGCTGATACACATGAGTGAACCTTCCATTATAGGAAAGGTGTGTCAGTGCACCAACAAGGTCATATAAATAAAGTGATGACCAATAAAATAAAAATAATATTGAATAATAACCATTCTTTTATCAATATTGTTATACACATAGTAATTGGACATTTTGAAATGATTTATTTACATATATATATATACAATAAAATAAATTCAATTGTAAAACTTGTGATAGCACGTAATATGCAACATTTCTATACCTACAATATTCGATTTGAATTTAAAGATAACTATTTATCTGCTTATCTACTATACCCATTTAATTAAAGGTCATTTAATTTTGTAACATGTAGTTATTTACTAAGGATATTTGTTTATTTACTAATTATTTTACTAATAATTGTTGATGAAAAAAGCAGGGCATTCATTATTTGACTATATTTTTTATTATATTATAGTTTTAGGATATAACTGTTAATTGAATGAGCTAACTAGAGGAGTCCTGCTAACAAGTACTATCAGATAAGACAGTTCAGCAATATTGTCTAGAGCGAGAAAACATATCATTTATCCACCACATATATTTCACATCTTCATCATATACTGCCCAGGCAGCAGACAATGATATGACAATATCAGTCATTATTTACAAAACATACCCTACTTTGGAGAAGATCAAGAACTATAATAAAGAGAATAGGCTATTGTTGCACCCCACATAGATTTAGTGCAGTTTCAGATGAGCTTCCATCCTCCCACAAAAGTTCAGGTTGTTGTCTTCCTGCCAAGATTTTACTTAGAGATTACAACATTGGGTTCTTGAAAACCAGCATAATGAGGTTTTTTATGGGTCGATAATGCACACATGATATCCTTGGGGTTACAGCTGTTCATTAGTAACCATGTTTACCATCAGATGGACTATATGCTTGTTTGCCACCAAAGCAATATAAAAAAAAAAAAGTATAATAAGAATAACAAATTGTGTATAAACTATTTACATAAGTGCAACAAGATGAACTGGTAACTGAGGAATTGAGTTGATAAATTACAGAACAGGTAAATTTGCAGTATATAGGGTTGTTCAAGTATAATGTAATGCTTGTTAAATTTTTTAAATGTAACAAGCAATACTATTTTGTGTACTTTCCTCCCCCTTCCTTAAAGTTACATATTACCCAAGCAACCATTTTTACCTAAAACTCACAACACTAATAAATACTGACAAAGAAAACAAAATAAAAATTACATAATACAGGTGAGGGATACTCCATAAAACATAACTGAAAAAGGTTGCCAACATAGGTGATCTAAATTCTTTAATTTTATATTTAAATAAAAAAAAACAATATTATATTATGCATTGTTCTATAAGACATCATAATGTTTTACAAAACCTCCTCTCCCCCAAATTGTGTTACATAACACTTAAATGCCTCCTATAGAATGTAGAATATAAATGTTTCATAGTTATAGAAAATTAATGAAAATAATATTAATCATATTGCTACTGAACATAAAGAATGTTAATATATAAAAAAAATATCCTAATCTTCATTCATGCTTATTTCTAAAACCACTCAATTAATTTCTATAACATTTTATATGTTTATTTTTTGTAAATAGAAAAAATTAACATGATATAGGTATAAAATTTAATTACCTGTTCAAAATCTGGGTCTATATTAATACTTTGTGTTGAAAGGCTAAGGAATACCTCTCTAGCATCTTCATGACTAGTTTCAATAAGGGGTTGAACATCATCTTCAGATTCCATGGTAATTGTATTTATTTTAATAAAAGTTTATTTCTTTTTCACTTTATTCATACTGAATATACTTAAAACACTATAAAATGATATTAATAAGTCCCAACAACATTGTGTATGCTGTCATCATATTTTAATTACTTTTGAAATGTCAATATATTATAAATAATTTACTTGTCTATCCTGTGAGAAAACTGCCATTAAATAAAGTATTAAAATTTGTCCATTGTATATTCAGTTTTGAATTACATATTATGAACTATAAGTTGCTTGCTTAGAACAGAAGCATTCAAATAGGTAATTTGATATTTGTAATATTTTACAAATATTAATATTTTAATCTAACTACAATAAGTAAAATTCTTTGCTCTAAAACTTGACGAAAAATAAACTTATTTTATGTATAAAACCACCCCCTAAGCATTGACACTATATATATTACTGGATAATTATAAGATTTTTTTTATATACACTAACTTTTATTTTTTATTTATACGAACTCAAAAAATTTCAACAAGGAAAGTAGGTACTTATAAAAGTGGGAGTATCCAAAATATTTAACTTAATTATTGAATGTATAATGTATGAGACGTCTTTTTTAAAACTTGCAGATTATAATTCTATAAAGCATTTTTTTTACAAATAATCACTAGTATCATATTTCCATTTGAACGAAAAAAGAAACAAAAATAATCAAACACAGCTGTTCAATAAACAACCGTCCTTGACGAAACAAGTCTTTGTTTTTTTAATAATTTTAATTTCAATGATACAGCACATAATAACTGCATTTCACTCAACAATCATGTCTTATTAATTACACTATCATCACATAAATAATTAGTAAAGTTATTTAGATAATATTTAAATTAAAATTCAATCAGTGCAACGAGACATCTCAGTTAAGGAAACACTTTGGGAATAACTTCCACAGATTAAGAAAGTCTATAACTTCACAATCACAATGACATTTTGTTGAGTTAAAAGATAGTAGACAAAAGAAGGCACAGATAACTTATGAAAATTTACAATTTACGTATTGGATGTTTTCATACTAAGAGGGTATTCGAATTATCCTACTTCGACCCATTTTTTTTTATTTCGAAGAGATAAAGGATTTATGCAGCGAATTTGTGCGTCCGTCTTTTACACTGCAATTTAACAACTACTAACAAGAAATTTTAAATATTAAAAAAAATATATAAATCTCCTAATGGATATGATGTTAATGAAATATTAAATTCACTAATAAAACTAAAGTATTATTATTTGAGTACTTCATTTTGAAATTTTAAAACTGGCTTTTATTTAGGAATTTAATGTCCCTTACATTTTTATGTAGCATAGGTGATTTATTATGTAAAGACATATTTTAAATAATTATAGGATTTATAAGATAGATAGTTATACAATTTACTTATTGTTAATTAAATCTAGATTCTCCTGTTAACTATGATAGTGTCCAATACATAGTAAAATAATATAGTCCAATAAATGTAATAGATGCGCAGAAATCCTGTCGTATAAATCTTTAAATAACTAGTCATCTTACCATTTGACTGTCTTCCGTGGTAATGTATTGTTCCATACCCAAAGTCATCTTTGTTTTTATGTTATGAGATTCCAATTGAAATAATCTGTAACAAAAAAAGTATGGTAACTAAATTTTTTTCATGAAGAAACTATCTATTTATACTTTCGTTTATTTATTTGTCTGTTTCTTGTTGAAACAGACAAAATAAACTAAATGAAAATATTATTGAAATTTATAAGTTGCTAAAACGTAATAGACTAGCCTATAAGATTATAATTGTAGACATATCTATAAAAAAATATTAGTTTTGAACTCTCTTTAATAATGTTACATGTAAGGCTTAGATTATATAGATAGAGCATCGAGCCTCAAAAAACGGGTCAACTTTTTGTCAGCTAATTGTTAAATTAGTTAACTCGTTTCTTTTATCAGTATTCTATATACTTACGCATACATTATATCTTGACGTATCTACATTTAATCACTTAATAAATAAAATGAGTTTTTACACATAAAAAAAAATTATAAAACAAAATAAGTCCAAAAGTTATAAAGGAATCACTCATAACTATTTATCACGCAAAATTGTATAAAAAAGTTGACCTGTTTTTCTCAAAGCATTCCTTTAGAGACACTCTATCTATATAATCAAGATGTATACATACATCATAATACTATACTGGAAGTATTAGATGATCTCATTATATTTTTTTACTTTATTGTAAGATACGACTTTTTTTGGACTTTAGAAATAATGTTATGAGAGGATTTCGCATGTAGGGACTTTTGTTTTTGAGATTACTGAATGTGATGACGATGGTAAGGTTGATTATCTGTAAAAATTAGTTTTTTTCTTAATAAACATCATATAATATTACTTACATGATATTTATTATAATTATAAGTTTATTACATTATAGAGATTCTATGTGGACTAATTAAATTCTTTCATTGAAAAATAATGTCTTTGGAATTTTTACCAATATATAATATTTATAAACTAACTCTATGATCATGAATATAATGACCACTTAAAATTACCTAAATATTTATTTTTATAAAGATTATGTTTTATTACTATATATATATATCTGTTTTTTTATATTTTATATTTAATTTTTTTTGTAATTTTCAATATTGTAATTTACTATTAATAAAACAAATCGCACTTATTATACAAACTTCAATGTAAATCGGTTAAATAAAATCTTGCACTCATAATTAACTGGTAACTGTAATAAAGACCTAATGCCCATAATCTGTGGCCGGCTGCCGTCTGCAAGTTGTCGTCAATCTACTGTCAGTCGTTCAGCGTCAACTGTCAAAGAGCCAAGTGTCACTGTTACAAAGCAAAGTTTGTATTGTATCAGAATCTTGTCTAATTTATTTTATTGTTTTATTTGTATTCTTTTGAATTTATAAAGTTTATTCTGTACAAAACATTTAAGGTAATAGATTTGTATTTTTGTCAATTGTTACTTGTCCTTATTGTTATTCATATTTAATTTAGTTACAATTTAAATGTTTATAACCTCAAAATGTATATTCAGGTTTATTTCTTGGCTCTCGTTAAGTTTTCGTTATTTAACATAAATTAGGGATAATACTTGCGGTATTTTTTGCACGTAATTCAGTAATAGAAAAATGAAATAAAAAATTATATCAAATAATGGAAAAAAACTAACGTGAATACTCAAGATATAGTTATAAAGTTGGATAATAAAATGTACTAAAAATTTCCCAAATACTTTAACTTGGGCTCATATTTAATATACAATATTATTATATGTCTTTATCTAAATATATATATAAATAACAATATGTATATTATAAGAATGTATGTAATGTATTTTATATATTCATTTTTGTAGCATATGTTTTATTAACAGTTTTCTTTTTTTATTAATTATGCTTCTTGCACCAAGCAAGCTTAGCTTTAGCAATAAGACTGTCTTTTATACTACATAAGTGTAATATATATTTATCTACATATTATTTTGTAAGTGATGTAATAAAGAGTAAATAAATAAATTTTACACATCATTGTTTGTAATATTAGAATATTTACTTCCAGACACCATGATCATTCCAGTTCGTTGTTTCACTTGTGGAAAAGTAATAGGCAATAAGTGGGAAGCATACCTTGGCTTACTGCAAGCAGAGTATACTGAAGGGTGAGTATTATATAGTGATATTATATTGTAGAGTATGAAGACTATGGGCATCTTAATGGGTTTCATATATTAATGATTATAATATATTATGCAGGTAGTCCTCGACTTACATCGTTTTGATTTATGTAATTTCAAGTTATGTCGAATGATGTTTTGATACTATTCCTCAAGCATACATCAATTATTTCGATTTCCGGCATAGAAGAATTAACTAGCAATTTCATAAGTACATATATAATTATTTTAAGAACTTTTGATAATTAAGTATGTATACCCTTCATACCTTTGTTATAAATACAGTTTTTTTTTTTATTTAGTTTGTGTGGATCCTAGCCCTTGAGTTTTACATGTAAAAATATGAACAAATATGTCTCGACTTACATTGTTTCGATTTACAATATTTGTCATTTTACAGTAGCATATTTGGAGAACCTAACATGCTGTAAGTATGAGGACTGCCTGTTCTGTATTTATGGTTGTGTTTATTGTTGTTCTGTATTTATGGGTGTTGTTTATAATGTATACAACAAAGGTCCATATGTGCCAACAATTACTAATATGAATATTTCTTGTATTATTTTGTTTAGTTCCAGATTTTTAGTATCTTATTCTTTGTAATTTCACTACTCCTAAAGTTCCCTAATTGATAATTTTATTCCTTATATTCAGTTGTTTAATATTCTCATCACAGAAATATGGGTCAAAATAAGACAAAAATAAGCCTTTCATACTAGTAAAGCACATATAGCTGTTAAGTTAGTTTAGAACATTGATAATTTTTTGTATTTTTTTTTGGGTTTATGAATCATCAAATGTCTATTCTTATATAGCATATATCATAGCATGAGTAGATACTTGATTTTATTTATGCTTAACGATTTTAATTCCACCCTCTATAAGAGGTGTTATTTGCCATTAAGCCAAAGTCATTTATGGTTCTTTCGGTTTAAGGCCAATAAAACATTTACAAGCATTAGATATAATAACACAATGTTAATAACATATTTACCTTGAATGTTTATTATATTATAAACACATATATAAAATTTTATAGTTAGTATACTGTGATAATATAACTAAATTGTGTTAGGTTTTATCAGCTGTCATTATAGGGTGTAGGTGTTATTCAAACAAGTGGTACATGAAAAACATGGTCATTGTAATTATATCAAAATAAAGGACTTGAAGTTTTGAGAATTTTATCTTTATTACTTGATTGTGATAGGTTAGGTATGTTCTATGCTTGTATATATAATTTTATTTAAGTGCTTATGAGGAAAACTGAATATAAAAAAAATTTCATAGTTGTATACTCATATGTCATATCATATTACTATGTGAGATTCAAAATTTGTCATATTTCATTGGACAAAGTGTTGAATATTAATTATATATGTATAATTAATAAATAATTATGGCAAGCAGTTACCAAAGCCTATGAATGCCTGCAATACCACAGGTATTACATGCGCGTTATCGACCCTTAAGGAACCTTTTTACCGCCCTTTTAAAGAAACCCATGCTGTAGTATCTTGGAAAAACCTTGACAGTTATCCTAATTTATTATCTTTAATTTTGTTTCAGTGATGCATTGGACGCGCTGGGCTTGAAGAGATACTGCTGTCGTCGAATGCTGCTCGGTCATGTGGATCTTATTGAGAAACTCCTCAACTATGCACCATTAGAAAAATAAATTTCTATAAAATTATATTTAAGTGATAAAATGTTAGGTTATTGATAATAAATTATAAGTATTTTATTCATCGTTCTATGTGATATTTAATAATAAAGCCTGATTTTAAATAAAAAAAAATCTTTCATTTATTTTTACAAATGAATAAAAGGAATAAAAAGGAACAATAGAAAGATAAAAAAAAAAATAGAAAATTAAAACAATAAATATAGGCTGATGGCTTTGGTCAGTAATCGAGAAATGCCCCCACTAAATGTATGTCTTCAGTGACTACAACACTACCAATATTCTATATTATACAAACAACCAGGTAAATAACAGGCCACTTCTTATTCTAATATACGCGGGCAAAGCCACGATATACAGCTAGTGTTATATATTTCATGATATAGTTCCTAAAAAAACTCCGTTCTACAAATAGGTAAATAACTTGAACAGTAAAACACTAATCCACCTCAAATACAGACAAAATTAATTCATGGAATAATTCCGTGACTCTAATCTTTATAGACTGGCAATTGTAACCGGTTATATCCAGTTTTCTATATAAAGATACCTCAACTGCAAGGTAATTTGGAAAAGCGATTAGCATTGATCGGATATCCTCTGACTTAACACGAGGACAAGAGAGGGAAAATGCATGGGTAGCGGTGATGCAAGACCGCCTGTATGTGATATTGGTTACAAATTACAACATAGAGATTATCTACACTTCAATACAAAAAAGCAGGTCCGATAATGCGGGTTAACTCAATAGTAATTACTTCCTTAGTGGTTTAATTACGTAGTATTTTTATTCGTTTCTGTAAGAAGGACACTCACTTTATAATATTGAAAATGACAAATAAGCTATCGTTCCACCTAATATAAAGCTAACCGTCGCCTATACACGTACAGGGTGCAGATGGCTCAAGACCCTTCCTTATGGCAGTCTACGGGTAAGCTTATGTTGATGATATGATTATGATGAATCCTGGATGAACCCTGGAAACCACCTTGGTTAATTCTTGTGAAATTCGACACCACCGCCAACGTATACCGACGGCGTAGACGGAGTAACCATTTCATTATCATTCATAAACAGAACGTCTAACCCTGGGACCAGAAGGTACTAGATATTAGTAACGGAAACTAGCAACGTTGGGTATGTACCCTGTAAATTCACTGAAAGGGTGGGATATGGTCCCACCCTTCAAAGGGAAACAATCATGCAAATACAACTGCTTCACGGTAGAAACATGAGTGGGATAGAGATACCCAAGCAAACGACTTGTACAAAGTCACCCTCTGTACACTTCATCTAAACTATGAAAAATTACTTATGATATGTCATTTTGTAATAAATGGCAACAACAGGCCAACAAATGGAAATAGCACTTTATATAATAATATTCCGGTTGTAGTTTAAATACATATTACACCAACTTTTTATAGACTGCTTAAATTAGAAATACACAAAATAACTTATAAATTTAAAACCAGACAAACAACCAACCAACAACACTTAAATGTTTTGACATGAAGAATTTAAACCCTTATATGGAGCTCAAACAACGAGTAATAAGTAAACGAAATATTTGCCCATAATAATATTGACGCGAAGAGTACAATTTAGTTAAGTGTATGATAATTAATCATATGAGATCACTTCAACCATACAAAAAACCATGGATGTTTGAAAAAAAAATATATTTTTTTAACTGTGATGTCTTGTTATGCATTTCAGCTTTGGAGCAAGTTATTTACATTCAGAGATAACAACTTGTCCTCAGTAGTGAATGTCACAGTATAACACAGTTGATATGCATGGTCACCTTTTGATTATATTGCACGAAAACCTTCAGACTTCAATGATATCACATACGGATAGGACATCATCGACTCTGAGTCACTTAGCATTATGTGGGGATGTACCTGAAACGCTCCATATAAGGTATTACACAATATAACAGTTTAGTTTCCTTCCTTTCAGCCTATAAACAATATCTTATTAATATGATTGTATTTTTGCGTGTGTGTTACTCGATATCAATGCAACTATAATAATAAAAAATAAATATTTTCGCAAAATGTAAAGCAATTTTGATGATTTTATATTTAAAAGAGCTGAATCATCATTTATCCAATTCTTTTTTCAATTTATTCAATTATTTTGTAATCATTTTGTCAATTATTTTGTAATTTAGTTATTTGTAATTCCTACCTAATATTTTTTAAGCGGCATTCAAAAGGAGAAGGTTTTCAGGTTTTTGGATTCAATAATGTTTACTTCCATGTAGAGTTGTCCCATGGGTGAGAATTAATGGTAACTCTGCCTGCGCTATTTTGGTAAATTAATCAAAAATTAACCACGATGGTTTAATTTCATCGTTTCATTAAAATATTAATATTATTCCTTAATACGTTATTTTTTTTTCTCTTTAATAGTCTGAATATCTATTAGTTGGCATTCTCCGATCTTTTTCATTTATGTATATTACTTGTAACTCTATTCCATGTGGTACCTGCAACTTCGCGAATATTATTGTGTGGCCTTCCTCTCTTCCTCTTTCCCTCTCTTTGACCATTGAGCCACTCTTTTACTTCACTTTTATCTACCTCATATGCCCAGACCACTTTCATTCGAGTTTTCCTATTTTATATGTTATAGCTTGTTTTATCTGTTATGTCTCTGTTTTATATTTTACATCTTAGATCTTTATTCTATTTCTAATATTATTGTTCCTAATTTTGTCTGATTTTTTACTTATACTTACGGAGAAAATATATACAAATTTTTATAATTCATGATCGGAAAAATACTGAAACTATTATACAGCGCAACAGCAAAACGAAAAGAAAAACAGTTCCTTATTGTTGGCAGGTAGCTCCGTGAACCTCATCTCATTGTATCGAGAGTCACGGTCCACTTGTTTCAATCAAAGGTGCCTGGATAATACGTCCCTATTAGCGCAACCGAACGGAACGAGACTGTAGTGGGACAGCTATTTGTTATTTATTATGATTATTTTCTCATATTGACGTTTAGGGCCTTGGCCTCATAAAAACATACTTGTTATATGGCAACTATGTTGGTCATGATAATGGTGGTAATTTAAGTTGGTCACTAAACAAAATTGGACACGAAATACTAGATGGCAAGATAATTTATCATATTTTTTGTCTTTATTCTCTTGCATTGTACAACTTTGTAAAAAAACTATATACTAGCAATGTTTCTTACATTGCTATTGTGTGGCTTATAATTCATACATATAATAATCATATAGCCTTTATTCAGATCAACTACTACTATAGTACTGACATTAAAATAAATATAAAATTTTAAAAACTTAAAACAAAATAATTTTTTTTTATGCCACTGAGGTGGCAAACAAGCATACGGCCCACCTGATGGTAAGTGGTTACCGTAGTCTACGAACACCTGCAATACTTATTATAACTTATTCTAATAATTGTTTCTTGCTTATTTTTACATACATAATAATAAAAACCATTCGCTAATTTAATAATCTGACTTCAAATTATCTTTAATTACCAAAAAAAATCAACAAAAACAGCACGTCTCAAATCCAGCGTCGTCTAGTATTTCTTGTCAAATTCGTTTAGTGACCAATCGTAAAAAGGTTAATGTTTGCGCTTCATCTATTTGATAGAATGTGGTGAAATAGGTCTATTAGTTTGTTGCTAGACCTTCTGTATTGGGGATATTATAAGATTTTGCAAAACCCGTGGCTTTGTCCGCGTTATCTACATAAAGTATCATTTATCCTATCTGTGTAACAATATAGCAAGAAGTGGGATAAATACTTAGACTACTTAATCTTGGTTATATAATTACATGTTTACTAAAAAACAGATTGACAAACAACCATAAAGAGCCCGTAATGTGACCTTAGTTTCCACGTGGATTCTCAAACGTTCCCAGACAGTTTAACGATGGCCCGAGACCTTCGCTCCCCTCGGTCGGTGATATATTGCGAATATATTGACGATTTGCTACTACCTGTTGCTAACCTATAGTCGTTCGTACGCTTTTTTAGAGTTCCATTGAATTGTTTTTGGGGGGCACCCAAAACACGGAAATATTCGATTCGTCTGTATTATTTTGTGACTATGTTATGCAATTACATTATCAATCCTGAATTAATAGACAAGTAATAAAAAAATAAAAAAAATATATTTAAAGATAAAAAATTTCTTTGAGATCACTGCCAGCTGGTAGGGTGCCTAGGATACTTGCTGTATTTCCACGCTGAATCAATGGAAATTTTTATCCATCGAGAGGTTTCCACCAGCCGGCGGAAATCTCTTTGAAAACATTACTCGGCCCTGAATTGACTTCGATAGTGTCTTTTTTATCCATCGATAGGGTTTACTCCCGTCTTGGTCTCTACTCACAAATATGAAAATTGAAGCTACCGATTTTCTTTTAGGAGCTAATGACTGTTTATTGTGTAGCAAAATCCTGTTGCAAACATACAATCATTATATAAGCCGTTACCTGCCCACCGCTGAACATAGGCCTTCCCTATAAGAGGGTTTCATTGTCTCGCTTGGCAGGTGGGTTGGCAACCGCAGTTAGACTTTTGGTTATGTTTTAAGAGGGATGCTGCTGCCCATCCTTCGACTATCAAAAATCCTTAGTCGCCTTTTACAACACCTAGGGAAAAGGAAAGACCATCCCGGTCTAGCATAGGGCTGGACCACATGGTACAATACTATACGTTCTAAATTCCCCGTTTATCATTTTTGTCACAGTTGAAGCGAACTAAAATATACAAGTACCAACTTGAGTAATAGTATGTTTTATTTATTATGCAACTTAGAATAGTAAACTGAAAATTCATTTCACAGGAAGTGGTCACCATCTCACAACATAAATATCACAAGAATTACCTAGCATCTAGGTGTGAGATCCTAAAAGAGAAACCACTTTTACGTCAATTGCCATAAACATTTGGCGCGGAAAACTGACCACCACTGCGAGACTCTATGCCACTGTTTGTCAGTGATCAATCTATAACCATTATTAGATTTACCAACACCCATATTTTGACTATTCTAGGTGCACATTTAAAAAGAGTTACACATTAATCTTTAATTTTTTTATCTATGTC